ATTTGTTTAAAAAGACATTCGCAGTAGTTTTACTCATAGTATAACTCAATGTAACGTATTGTGCGCATCACTTTGTTGTTAGTTGTCCCGTACTTCTCTTCACCAAAAGCGGTCGAAGAGCTATGTAAAATAGAGAAGGACGAGTAGAGCGGAATGCTTACGATTTTTTCTTATACATCCTGACACTACATATATCAAATTGTGTGGATCACAACCCGTCTTGTATTCCCTTCGCTTCCTCGCACTACCATCGACGAAGGTCTTCAAACTTTTTTGTATATGGGTTCTGATATTGTTTAAGGATTTTGTTGTTCCAATCACAAATTTCCATGAACGCTAGTGGAGTCGATTCTTCCTGAAATAGCAGTACCTCACACGGATTATACACACCTTACCCCAAAGAAGTCTGGAGCATGTTTCCGACCTTGAAAGGTTGAAAGGATAGGTGAACCCGAGGGAAAGGCTGATAAAGTGTCTATCATGGTTTGGCCGTCCACCAAAATGCTATTACACTTATGATTATCTTAAAGAGTTCATTTATAAGCTGACATCAGCGACCAGCAAAAAAATGACTTTCTAGGGTAAAGCAATGCTCGACTCCACTGGATTCGTATCAAAGCGACTACGAAGACCCATTTCTCAAGAAAGAAAGGATGGGAACAGTCGACTCGAATCGCTATGGCTGTGAAGAAGGCGAACGCTTCAAAACTGTAACCACAGTAAACGTCTATAATAAACTCTCATAAGCTTAAGAATATCGAGTTGTAATGAGTCTCTAGAGTTCTCTTAAGAAAAATCCACAATCGACGATTCCATTGCTAATTAGTAAGGCCAGATTGAAACTAACATTGAGATCTGAGTATATCGCTAGCAAAGGCCTCCATATTTTTAAAATTTTCAGTGAAACATTAGTAAGAAAAAAATCGTACCTTTTATCCCTGATGTAACTTATCTTCTACCACTTTATTTCTATTGTTTATTTCACTTTTAGTTCCCTAATCCATTTAGTTTTTCTTAATTTCTATCTTATCTTAATGTCAACTTTTTATTTGCTGCCTTCTACAAATTTTCATGGCAGGATATTACGCGCAATACAACCGCAATGGTGCTAAGATATTTGCAAAACTCCGGGCTGCACAACGCGTTCGCCACCACACCATGCGGCTCCTTCGTTTCGCATGTCTCTCAGATAGTTCTATCGATCAGCCCCATCAGCAATCACCCGTCAACGGGTATAATCTGGGGAGCCCAAATCGGCATTGAACCTAATTAAGCTGAGGCTGCTGTTGAAATCATAATGTTGACTTTTATTTGCTGCCTATTACAATTTTTATATGGCCGGGTACAAAGTGACCAGCGGTCAGGAGTGTTGCAAATATCTCAGCACCATTTCGGTTATATCTTATCTTATTTCTACTTTGATTCCTCTGTTTCATAAAATTTATCATAACTCGTATTGCTCCAGATCATTTGAACTGACTTCTATCAATGTATCTATTTATATTTTCTTATGAACTGATCTTGTCGATCTGATTCGAGGTTGGCATAAGTTGCCGTTGTTGTTGTTGTTGCTGCTGCTGTTGTTGTTGTTGTTGTTGTTTAACCGAATTATTAAGCTACTGTTGCGTATAATACCTCCACGCTCTGAGGAAGGCAAAATCGCCGAAACGTCATCTGTCGACCAACAACAAAAAACAACAAAAACAATAACAACAATGACAACAACAACAAACAGCAACAACGGCGACAACGCAACAATAACAACAACAACAACAACAACAACAACAACAACAACAACAACAACAACAACAACGACGACGACAACTTAAACCAACTTCGGATCAGCTCAACAATAGGAACATTCAAATAATTACGTTGATTATTTATGTCAAAGTTCATAGAAAGTGAGTCTTTTGAGGGATTTCTATCATTTGCATTATCGGTGCATCAATACTTGTCTCACGTCGCCCTAACAGATGTTTTTTATACTTCTTCTTCTCGAATAGACGAAATTGATGTTACTCGTTTTTCTTGGTCAAAGTTATTTTATTCAAGTTATTCGTGCGCGGACAAAGTAGTAGTGGCCCTGATTTGACCAAGGACCATTTAGCCTCCCACACCTCTGGTTAGGGACTGATCCGCAAAGACTAACAAACATCTGCGGCTATGAACCGCGGAAGTCCCGGCACAAATGTGTCAAGATTCCATAGAGGATCAATTCGACAGGCATTCAAAGACATTCATAAAGAAAATCAGAAATCCATAAACAGCGGCCGAAACGACATCGAAATCTGAACACCTACGTGTTTGACGAAGAGAATCGTTTAGAAAAAAATGTGGAATATGTATGAGACCAATCAAGTGAAAAAATGCAAAAGTCTCAAACATTATAAACCTTTCTCGATTTTGGTTTGTCTCTGGTTATTCCTCTCGAGTATTTAGGATTGCTCGATGTCCTTTGCTTCATTCGGTTTTAGCCTATGACAGAATGAATAAAAACGGGACTTTGTAAACCTGTCAAACAGGTGAATGACGAAAATAGCTTTTTTAATTATTTTACTCTTGAAAATTCTCGTTATGGAGCCGAATCGAGGTTGTTAGGGTGTATTTCTGATTTTCGAAAACAAGGATATTCGCGGGAAGAAAATAACTTTTGTTTGCTAATGCCGTGGCCCGGAATCCAAAAACGGCTAAACTTCTCATTTTGTGTCTGACTTCTCAAATAGCTTACAGAAAACATAGCGTCTCATTTAGCCCATTCAAAACTAATTTCTTCGCAACGCTGGAGAGGAGAGATAGTGGTCGAATTCGTCGAAATATGTCATACGCAACTATAACTTACCAATCATTTCAACTGAGCAATGAACTTTAACCATTCCTCTGTTCTCTGGTCAACGGCTGAGTTCGCAGAACACCTAACTGCTCCGTCTATTATTCCTCGAAGATTTGCAGACGTTCGACGTCATCTCGAAAACCATGAATAGCTTCGTGTCATAACACAATGATCTGATCTTCGAGAAAAGTATGAACATTCGTTTGGCTGTTTTCTTTTTAACAGCATTCACTCAGCTACTACATCAGCCTATTGTTTGCTAGTCACCAATGAACTAAGCGACGTATGAAACTCACCTCGCACCTGAAGTAATGCTCGCGTAACACAGTGCCTGAGCTCCGAGCGCTGATGTCCTGAATGCTGAACTCTTTCTCTCATTTGTTTGAGGCGATCAAATCTGACCGATAGTCGAATGTGCGCTGATTTCATTTTTTCCCCATATGGGAATCCACTAACTCATCAGAAACATAGTAATTTGTGTAAAAGCGTAAATTTCTAAACGTGTAGGCTATAGAGAAAATATGAAAAGTTTTCTGGAAAGAAAAGACATCTAACACGAAGGAACTATTTTACAACATTGCTCAAAAGTTCTTCGAAGGCATGGCCCCACCAGGTGCTAACGAATAATTTTGCGTTGAAAGTAGCTACGTGTCTCTGCATTGTCACATCGCATCATGGTTCGCCTTGTCGAAGGATTCCTATTATTACAATGTATTCCGGTCTAGAGTTAGTCGCACTTCGACGTAGTTGTGAGTGTTCTTCTAACAGTTGCCATCTTCTCGATTGTTTTTTCATTTCGTTATCTAAGGTGCTCCTTAGTCATTTCTCAGTGCAGACATTTTCATTCCAACTCATTTTCCTCAGTGCAGTTATTTCCATATCTGCCTTTAAGTAAAGCGTTCGGCATTGATCAATCCATTGGGGATAATCCCTTAGGGTCAATCCAGGATCTCAACCCTATTAAGCATCATAGGGATAAATGGATGCAAATCTAAACTGCAAGATAACTTGCAACAGCTTTCGATTCATCAAGTCAGTGTCTTCTATTCTATAACAGAAGTATGCCACGAAACTACTGACCTGGGAGGGACGCTAACCTTGGTTAAGTCGGAGTACGGGGTCGAGCCAGCGGCCAATCGCACTGTATCACAGTGGCGCCTGTTGTAACGTAAGTCCAACTGTCGTTTCGGGACAAGCTGTTTACTCAACTAAGTCGTCGTAGTGTACTTGAAGGGAAATGTAGGAGTGACACACAGTTGTACCCTCACTGCACTAATCACTTCTCAATAAACATCGTTCTTATTACGACGCGTTCTGAAGAAAATAAGCACAAAATCTCTTGCAACCTGACACATAACTTAGTTTTTCGGAGTTTTACCAACAATTAAATCGAAAAACGACAATTCTTGGTGCACTTATAGTGATGGCACTCGTTACGAGCATGGAGCTGGTTCGACCTCAACCAGGTCCCACTAACTCTCCAATCTTTCCAGGGTCGGCATATTAGTACCAAACATTTCTCGATCGGGTATTTCCATTGAATCCACATGAGAGCACCCTAGCAGGGCAATCAAAGAATTCTGGAGAGAATTGACTCAATCAGCATTCTACGACAATCATGAACAAGACGAAGCTGAACACATATGCAAATCTGAAGACGTTCGTGAATGATGACTGGGAGGAAACGACTCGAATGCAAAAAATGGTGAAATCCCAGCAATGCGTGATGTCGGATTAGTGAAATAAAAAAAAGAAAAATCGTAGGTCTTGGGGTGAGCACGGCACAATAGCCAGAGATGCTCTTCAATACTCATGTGGTTGGTCGTCGGGCCAACTCTACGCTGAGGCGAAATCAAGCCCTTGAGCATGATACCTCTAGGCACATTGACAGCAAACTTATCTATGAGAAAAGAAAACGCATTTTTCTGGCTCGTAAACAATAAAGTAAATGTTACTATAGTGATTTTAGTAGTTTCAAGATAACAGTTATTTAATAAATCACTACACGTTCATAAGCAACTTCTTAAGTCAAATAACGTGCAAGCAGCTCTATAATGTTTAATGGAATTCAGTGCATGAATTGATGAACACCGAACGATTTTATGCTCTGGAAGTACTTAGGAGCTCTTGGGTATCTTCGCCTGCCTGCTGCTAATCGATGGAAAAGATGGATGAGAGAACAAAGCGACTGGACGACTACATTTCTATGGGTCGTTACGTGATATTAGTATGCGTATTGGCTGAGCTTATGATTCTACCTCAAGTCTCCTCCATGTATTACATGATGTATGCAGGTACCCGTTTTTTAAACAGTCCTATTTTCCCTGTGACTATAGTTTGGTTTGCGAGATCTAGTTTGCTAGTTAGTTTTTCTAGTTTGCAAGATCAATAGCATCTGATTAACGAGAACCGTTGAATGCCTTAAGTGAGGAGGGGATTCATTGCCCAATCCGTCCAGCCACTGCTAGGTTAGTTGTGGAGTGTGTGGCAGATCGCTGTTGTACTAGAAAAAAGATCTTTTTCTAATCAACTTTACAAGCTTTCATTGCAGACACAAGGGCTTTATTATATGAAACCATAATCACTCATCCCACTTAAACCTTTTTAGCGAACGTTATCAGTGCTCGTATAAGATCCATTTTTCACTTCACGTCACACTGGAAAATGATTCGCTACCGCTGTTTAGAAGAAACAGGCAAAAAGAAAGAAACAGAACAGACAGATAGGAAAGAACACACCCCACGAGAACCATCTCGCTAACATTCGTTCAATTCGTGCACCACTCATTTATCAAGGTTCTTCACCGCTCAAATATCTCCCAATCGATGAAAAATGGGAAAGATGTAAACGTTAAGTTTCTCTAAAAACACAATACAATACAACGCTAGCTGACGTTTCGGCAGTATCGCCTTCTTCAGAGCCGCTTTTTCGTGACTTCCAATGAGGAAGTTTAGAACAGCTGATTATAGTCGCATGTGGTTGACGACTCGACGAGTCACGAAAAAGCGGCCCTGAAGAAGGCGATACTGCCGAAACGTCAGCTAGCGTTGTATTGTATTGTGTTTTTATGGAAGTAAATGTATGCTGTTTAAAAACCTCACGATTGCTGAACAAGAAAACGACACATTCATATTCCAATGCCGAGGTTAAGAGAAAGTCGATCCTGGGAACTGTTAAGTTTCTCAACAAGCGCACAAGTAGCTTCGTTTGTCGGCTTCTGATCGTCGCCAGTAACTGCTGATAGGCGTTTTCGCCCATGAAGACTCGCGTTCGAAAGCTTTTTCACAGCTTACCTTCGATGATACTTCGAGTTTTTACGGTTGATTTGTCTCCATTTTTTGCACGAAAGAAGTAGGCTTAAGAGTACTAACCGGGAAATGATTGCTGAAGACAAAATCTAAACATTTCTGCACTCTGGGGCAAGAAATTGAACTCACGTACCTATTCTGAATTATTCGCAACATTAGTAGCAACTGGCTGTTCAGGTGCCTCTCCATCATTGTCGGCATGTGGTGACGACCTGATTTTCGACCCTGAGCTGGATGAAAAGGAAGTGAATAAGTGATCTGTTAAATTGTTGTTCTATTCACATTCTAAGCCTAACTGGCCCTTACTTTTACTTGTGTATTCTGTGGTCTAAAGCTTTTATTTAAGGAGTTTTTTTAAGCAAAAATAAGGGCAGAAACCAAAAATGTGCGAGTTAAGTAGATGGCATGGTAGTAAATCGCTTCACTTCTTCTCTCTAAATATCCTTCAAATATAGCATGTAAGCTGACTATGCACTAATCCTGATTATTGATGACCGCAATACATACAAAACAAATTCACAATTTCACTAATGACAATGCTTTCCATTAAGAAACACTTGGATGTTTATATAAACAAATATGATGTTTTGCGCACGATAGGAATCCAGCGTGACGCGATAATGACCAGGATAATGCGCTCGGTATTAAAGAATTCCTTAGGATCGTAGAAGTGGCTCAACTCATATCTTGTCCTAAGCAATAATTTCCGGTGCCGACTGATGTACCACGTCAGTGTTTCTATGCTCCCATGTAAGTCTGGTACTAATTTGTCGACCACGGAGGAACAGAAAGCTTGTTGAGCTCAGAGCGCGTGGAAAAAGGCAAGCGACCGATTGTGTATTGCAGAGCACACTGCTTTGCAAGGCCACCTTTGATTAAAAGTACTTTCAATAAGTCTAAAATTTCACGGCACCTGCTTTGCAAAGATAACAAGATGAACCGAAAAAAGCGTTCGCTTCGAACACTTTCTTTGAGAAGTTAGTAAGTCGGAATACATCTTTAGCAATAATTTAGAAAAGGCTTAAAACCAAAACAACTACCTCTAACACTACAGAATTTAGCACCTCCTCAATGAGACAACAACAATGAATCGATTGGACTTTGTAACGAAGGAACGCAGCATAAATGTTTACCTGCTACGAATTTGGCATGGAACTATTTCAGGTGTGCCGGCTCTACCAACAAGTCGCTTTGGAAAATTGCTCTGCTTCATCGTTGCGATATGAATTTAAATCAGTGAATGTTGAGGTGACACTACCTTGTCCTATCAATGCCTTGAAAGTTGCTTAAAAACATAAAATTCAGATTTTAGTGGAATTATATCTGCGAAAATGCAAGCATCATCAAAAACTCGATATCCGTGCAAATGATCGGCGTGTTGACTGGATCTGTAGTGTTTGGCCAACTCAGTGACCTGTACGGAAGAAGGAAGGTGAGTGGTCTAAAAAAAGCTTAAAAAAAATTGAACAAAGCTTGATTAAACTGGTCTTTATGAATGTTCTACTGATGTAATCGTAAGGATTAAATGAGCGTCTTCTCCTCACAATTCTAGGGGTCTTCATACATTTCTATTCCTGCTTTAACTTGCTTCATCTTTCAAACTACAATTACAACGAACGGATATTACCCTTATCCTTAAAAAAAACGCAGCTTCTAACTATAAAAAATCTATTCTCGGAGGCTTTTAAGACGAAGTAGAAAAACCGTTAACGTTGTTAAGTCGTACGCCATGTGAAGAGTAAGGTTTTCATTAAATATTTCCTTCACGATTTGAGGTCATTGTATGATAATTTGAAAGTTGCCGAGCCATATTGTTTAACGATGTGCTTGGACACTTGGGTAGTTGTACAACTGGATAGTTTTGGTCACGAGTAGCGGGAACATAAGCACGTTTTGTATATCTTTCTTTCGCACTCTTTTGCGTCCACAGTGGTGATATTCTACTCCAAGCATGGCGACGTGAACGAAAAGAATTTCGTGGGCCATTAATTATTCACACTTATGAATGCAGGTAAGTTTTCGTCTCATGGTACACTTGAAACCACGTCTATTCGTCGTCAACCTCTCTCATTACACCTAGTTTCACCTTCGAATCACAATGCGCTTTATCCTGAGTAAAGGATAGCTTTCGAGGGTCGGAATTTTAAAGTTTGCATCACTACCGACTTTCATTGAGCCTTGACGTGGATAAAGAATATCTTGCTTACAGGGGATTATTGTAAATCCTTGCTATCATTACCGTTCTCGCCAATTTGCCATCATCAGAACCACGGTGACTCGAGTCGTGTGTTCACAGCAGTTATTTCTTCCTTCGATGTTCGTCTTCATAGCCGTCTCGCCGTCCTCCTTTCATGTTCTTCGCCACATTTATTGGCCGCCTAATGCTTACCTGCGAGGTCATCTACTTTTTTCTTTAGTTCATTGAACGTTGTCTGTCTTTTCTATTAATTCCCAAAAATTTGACTCTGTCGTCATTGAAACAGTTTGATAGGAACCTAATATAAGTAACTCTTCCGTTATCACCCTATCTTCTGACTCCACTATGCGAGATGGTAGTGAACGGCTTCGGAAAGATGATATCACTCTGTCCACATTTTTTAAAGGAGATAGCAGGACAGCGATGAGAAAATTGCATTTCCATGGAATTTTGCGATAGTAGCCATCCGAAGTTCTTGTGTAGGGTAAAAGGTGCGATAAATGCGCAGATTGACGGCGTTCAGCTTGAACGAAGTCGGTTTTGATATTATTTGGTCCCGGTGCTGTGCCTTCGAATTTGTTGTTCATCGCAACTCAGTCTTCAGAGAGAAGAATCCGTGACGGCTTTTCTACTGAACTTTGGGATCAATTTTGGCAGCTTCATACCATTGTTGTAACCACGCATTTGTTCATCAAGGTTAATAGCGTAGCGTCACTGCATAAGTCCAGACCGCATTTACGTGTTTTTTTGCATGGCTTCTCATCGTACTTACTGTGTGAATCTCAACGTTTCTTAGATTCCAATTTTTTTTCCTCGCACTCATCATCCACAAATGTCTTCGAACATTTCGCGTATTGTTTCAGCTGCTGCTTAAGGATTTCGTCTTCTTCACTAATATATCAGAACGATAGCCGACTCGACTCTTCTTGAAAACTTGGAGAAGACTGAGCTAAGAGGTTCCCTAGTGAGATGGAAGAGAGCGATGGAAAGCGAGTTGAGCCAGAAGCTTGTCTCGTGATAGACTGCGTCACTAACTACTTTGCTGCCTCCTTCCCCTTCGCGCATTTGTGTAGGACATTTCTTTTTGACCTCCTAGAAATATCTTCTGCAGCTGGAATTTATTACCAGCCGTGTGAACCACAATGCAGTATGATCACGTTTTGATTTGCACCTTTTCTCGATTTTCTCGAGCAACTTCTGAGTGATAAAAGAGATAAGATCCGAACTTCTTCCTTGAAGAATAGAAGCATGTTCAGCGTAGGTTTTATGTTATTGTGCATCTTAATCTCGACAGTCTAGTCTAGTCTAGTAATAGTCTCAACTCTTGCTTATTCTGCGAATCGCCTAAAGAAGGCCTCTGTCCATAATATTTTCATTATACACGGAATCCTGTCTCATTGGATGATGACAAAAGTTCTCTTCTAGCACAGAATGAGGGCACACGGAGGTGTCGAGTATGTGCTACTCAGAGAAAATCAACTCGATCAGCATTCTACGACATTTAAGATGAAATGGAAATCCTCAAGCAGCAGCTGAGGCCACAGGTAAAAGAAGTTGGAAGACCCTCTTGGATGGTGGATGCGAGGAAATGAATCGAATGTTAGAAATGCTGACATCCACACAGTAAACGTGAAGATGGGTCGTGTATCGTGTAAATACAAAGATTCTACCTTTAGATAGTGCTGGGAACAATGTTCCGCTTCTTCCAACTGGTAAAGGATTCTAATTGGTTCTCATCGGCATCGCTAGTTAATGAATAGCAGTAAAAGACGCCGATAATTTTTGAAGTCAAGGCTGCAAACGGTAGTTTAGCAAAAGACTCCAAGGTTACTAGTAATCGCTAGCCTACATAGGGAAGAAGATTATGCGAAGATTTGTCAGTTTGCAAGTAGTTTGATACCAGATCGCCGGTGATTCTTTGCATTGGTTTACTTTCGGTTAGCATTGTAGTTACAAATTTCGAAAACCTTGTCAGCTTGGAGGATCCTGGTGGAACATTCCTCTAGTCGAAACCCAATACATCTCCCGCCAAATTGAGAAAACAAGATATGGGAGTTGGAGTTAATCCTGCTGTATAAAATATTTTGAGGGAATTCGCTAGTCATATGCACGATGTAGTTAGACCTGAGGAAACCAGCTAATAGGACGAAAATTACAAACACTAATGTGTTATCAACTGAAAAATTGTTTTGTTCAAAGCGTAATTGTGGTTCTAAAGCTTGGATGATTATTATCTAAATGGTGTATGTCACGAGATTAATCAAAGACCATGGAAATTCTACTAAAAATTTGAAAGCTGGACCCCACTTCTATATCGTTACTGGGCACCTAGTAACACTTAGAGTCATGTTGACAGGATAAACGATTGTGAGGATTGCAGATACGTGGGAATGGGGTTTAAACATGACTTAAATAGAAAGTATACTTGTCATTTGATCAATCAAATTAATAGAAAGAACACACGGGCTCCACACAGCGCAAGTACGAAGAGGCTGTTAATAACTCAATAAAACTATGGCGTCGATAATGTTAGAGTTTAAGCATCCTCATATAGTATGAGAAGTTTCGATCGTTTAGCAGACGGCAACTTAATCCATTGGATAGGCCGTCACAAACCATTGCAACGTCGGATATACATACAACCATCTCTACGACTCATTACGAAGTCGTATGCATGCTACATCCTTTAGAGGTTGATCAACGCAGAACGTTGTTTTTTTACCCTTATCGCTTAGAAAAGGAGTAGCTTAGACTCTTGAAGACTGTATTTACATGTCGCACGGCATTCAACAGTTATACCCTTCGTTGTCTTGTAACTGTCTTCCATTGAAAAGGTCCAGTTTGTACGTCGCTGTAACTTGGGGATCTATGAAACGTGATCTTTCCCCATGATTTGTTGAACCTTGGTGAAGCATGGTTCTCCCTTGAGACCCAAGATATCCGTGATAAGTCTTTCTCAGATTGCCACAACATGTCTTTGCTCCTGGATGGAGTTTGTTGCTATATAACATATTTCCCTGGATAACAACAATTCCTTTGAACGCAATGAAACCTGTTTCTAGTCGAATGATCGCTTGAGGACGATGTCACAAGCTCAATCGCAAACAAAATTAGTAGAAATTTAATACAACCAAGTTATCAATAAGTGTTTCCAATGAACCTTTATCACGAACTCTGTTTAGAAATAAAAAGAACCCTGGCAACGCTTATGTAGCATTGGTAACCCTCTATGTTGGCTTATATGAAGAAAACTGGTGAACTGGTGGCATTTCGTTAAAAGAGTGACCTAAAGAGTACAAAGAACCACCACATGTCGACAACAGTACATGTATGATACACTAAACTTAGCAGTTTGATATAACAGGGAGAACTTTGGCTATGCTGTCCTCTGAATAAAATCCACATTCTTCTATAAACGCGTCAGAAAATATGTATGGGAAAGAGGCAAACGATGAATATTTGTTCTGTATTTTGTTTATAGAAAATCTCAGAAAGGTTTTAAAAACTATTTTGCAGCTATTCTAAACAACTATAAAATGCCAAGTTAAGAGCGTCATGCATTAGTGGCTGCTGATCATTACTAGAGTCCTGTGAAGTAAGATTTTAGCAACAGTCATCTTGAATTGTTCTTTCCGCGGATGAAATATTTCAGCACTAGCTTTCCCAATGCAATGGTCTCCTACAACAGAATCCTTTCCAATTTCTTCATCATTTTTTTCTTCCGTTCTAATTTATTCCTATTCTGGTTGTACTCTTCGTTGTAAAATATATACATATATTGAAATTTCTATCCTAATACTAAGGGGCGCCTGTGGCGCAATGGTCAGATGCGCCCTGCAACGCACACGTGGAATCGATCCGAGCGCCCATGGCTCACAAAACCTTCCATCCCTCTAGGTTTGGAAAATTGGTACCGGACTTCTCTGGAAGGATAGAAGCACTGGTTCTTGATAGCAGCACTAACTCGATACATCGGTAGGCCACCGCGAGTCACTTTAAAGGCCAGATACGCATTTCGAAAGCATGGTGCATCCCTCAAGGATTGATCAACGCCGAGAGCTTTATCCTTTTTATACTTTATCCCAATGTTACTCCAAACAAATAAAAAGCAAATGAATAAGCATTAACGCTTCTTTTAAAGGAACAATACATTTACATACAGGGAATGTTGGGTACAATGACAGGAATGGCCGTATCCTTGTTGTTAGTTGCAAAATCAGCCACACTCGTGCAGTTCACAGTTACTCGAACAATTGTCGGTTTCTTCACTGGCGGAAGCATTGCGTAAGTCTCCAGAGATATCTAGGTAATATTTATCTATTAATCCCATATTAGGCTCAGAATCATCAGATAAATTAGGTCAAGGATTAAATGGGACACATGCAAAGTTGCACATGTGGTCAATAGTTAGCAAACTGTTAGCAGAACTGTTTAGAAAGAATAAAACTCTGACTTGACATATCAGTATTTCTCCGCAAGTCATTATATGAAAAAACATGTAATCAGTGCCTTCCACGATGCCTAATAGATTCGGTGCGTCTTTATGAGACAGATAATGCCCAGCGCACTGCCCTTCATACATTATGGACCAAATAATAGTTTCTTTTTTATTATACACAATTAAAGATTTTTGATCTTCTTCATGAGCGTCGCTGAAAGCTCGTCGAAGTTGATTCTCTCTAGAATCCTAGGATAATCGTGCTAAGATGCATGCAAACCTTCATCACAGGCAGTCCTTGTGAGTTCTGAGGAGTTTGCAGATGATTCCACTACTAGTTTCCCCTCCCAGTGGGATGGGAGACTTGGCCAGCAGAAGGCATATATTGCATGAGAAATTGCCATTGAATTCTGAATGGCCAACAGGATTGCACTGTGCTTCTTTTCTTCCTGCAAGTGCTAACCATCCCTCATGTTACAAATGGAAATAAACAAGAATAATGACAGCTTCTCAACTGGCCAGATATTGGATATTAGTGTGGTTGTCTAATTACAATTTTGCAACATTTTTTACAATATACTAGTTTTTATCCATATTTTAACTAGGGAGATGGCTGGGTAAGGCTACGCACAAGAATAGGTAGGCAAGCGACCTCCCTAATACTGGTTACAACGATTTCGCTCACATTTGGAAGGAAATTTCTTTGTTTATCAGGAAACTAATAGGATATTCCTGTACGAGTTCACAAAATTACGTATTACATAAACAATTTTTCGCCAACAGACAACTGCTTGCCATAAACCACCCGTTTCTAACCAGAAGGTGAAGAACAATCATATTCAAGAAAACTGTTCCGACTCAAATAGAGAAAAATACAACTGAGAGAAATGCATGGCAAGAGCGCCTCTTGGTGTGGTTGGTAGCTTGTGAGGCCCCGGTGAAAGTAGTCGCGGGTTCGAAGCCCATCTGACGTTCAATGTTTTGCTCATATCTCAGCAGTAAATAAAAGTTAAATGATTTTCAGAGTGCTGAACGTGTTCATCATAGAAAACATCCCGAAGCGCCATCGAATGTGGATCAATATGGTGATCACTTGGTCGCCAAACATCATACCGATGGCGCTGATGGCGTGGCTAAGCGCAGATTGGCGCACTCTGGCTGTAGCCAACGCCGTCACTTGTGTTCCAGGAATTCTGTTCTGCCTGTTAGTTTAATGCCTTTATTTACCCGACTTTTCAGATATTTGAAGCTTTTATTATCCATGCAAATGTCTCAACGATAGAATAGTAACTAAATCTCATTTAACGACCGTTGAACGCAGCTAGTGATTTTTTAAATAATCGCGACACGGCGTTGGCCTCTATAGGTGTCATCGTTAACCCATAACACACTTGTGGCATTTATCGTGGCTCGTGTGGTAGAACACGAGCAATTTTTCGTTGGTTGCTAATTTTTTGGTTTCTTTTACAATAAAAGGTAATTTTGTAATAACCGGAGGGCTTTAGCGTATGTGAACATGACAGAACTGTAAAATAAAGCTTGCCTTATCGTTCTATGGGTATGAATGATATGTATGTTACAAGCTTCAAAACCCCTCCAAACAGTGATAGCATTGTGTATATACGATGGACATTGGACTAAGTAGTAGACAGTAGCGTGCATACCATCCATACTGATAAGACGATAGTGCAGTCTGCTTTGTAATCCTTTCATGTTCACAACCTCTCAACTTTTCTGGTTCTTGAAATTTTATCGTGCATTGTAGAAGAACTCGGAGGCTCGTAACAGCCGGAAATTAGTTGTTCTCTCGGACGCTCGCCACACAGCTTAGGCCTTCTCGCGAATGTGTTAGAAATCTAATACCATAGAAGGACTTCCCCGAATAGATATTTGCAAATTTCACACTTATTATCAAACACCAGATTTAATTCGAATCCTATCGAATTATATTTTCGATTAGAGAGCTTGACGAAGCTGTGCTTATTTTTACGAACTCTTAGGATTTGGATCAGAGAATCTCCTCAGTGGTTGCTTCAACGTGGAAGAGTCAACGAAGCAATTGAAATAATGAGAGGAGAATTTAACTGCTTCAAAGAGACGGACATGAACGACGTCATTGAGAAGGAGTACTATGTGGGTTTATATCAAAACCTTCAAGTGTTTAGAAATAACCCACATTAGCAATGCGTCAATAAGATAAACGGCACAGTTATTCCTTAAAGTTCATGACAACCACATTCGAAATGACTTTAATTATTTGAAAATAAATGTCGGACTTGTAACTCTATTTTTCTTGGGTAGCCTTTCGCGATAGTTTTCTCGAACGGTGTACTTCTATATATAAATTGTATTCGTGCCAAATTTCAAACTTTAGAATTTCACATGTTAATACAGCAGTTTTGACCAATCTACTTCTAAGAACTCATACATAGACGTACACAATGCAAACTGCTCGAAACATTAGTGGGGCTTGGAGCCAAGGAAGTGATAAGAAACGCACAGTGCAATTTTGAAAAATTTCATCGTGGCAAATTCAACCTTGAAGATGAGAGAAATAGCGAACGTTCTTTTACCATAGACGACGATGAATTGAAGGCTTTGTTGAAAGCAACAGCTCGAGAACTTCCAGAGAACTCAGTGTAAGTATTTGGACTGTCTCAAATTATGTAATAAACATTAGAAGGTCTACAGATAAAAATGAAGGATAAAGCGCTCGGCGCTGAACAATCTCTGAGGAATGCGCAATGCATTCGGCTTCATTAAGTATCGTTTGGAGGTGATTGAATGCATATCTGATTTTCCAATAACTTGCAGTGATCTCCCGATGTATTGGGCCAGTGCTGATATCCTCCCGGATAAGTCGTACCAATTTGCCGATCCCGGAATGATGGAAGGTTTGGTGAACCAGGGGCATCGATCCCATGTGTTTTGCACGACGTCTCCGACCACTGCGCCACATGTGCCTTAAATTACCCACGTTTGACGGAAAGGATGGTACTCGTCACTGGTACAAAGGTTAAAATTGTAAAGAAAAAGGTTATAAAGTTCAAAAAACATAAGTCTGAAAGGTATTATTGCCTGAAGCCCAATTAGCACAAACCAAATGGTACCGACAATCGAAGACCGAAGAAGGTCAACGAACGATAGATATCGAACGAATTGAATGACAATCAAAGAAATCGCCGTTTTGATATATCGTCGGTGCTTTTTTTGAGCAGCAAGAACGACCCGTTTATCGACCGTACTGTGATGGTCGACGAATAATGAATCCTTTACGGCAACCGCCGATAATCGCCTCAGTGCTTGGACCGAGAAGAAGCTCCGGAGCATTTCCCAAGACTGAAATTCCACCAAGAGAAGGTTATCTTGACAACTGCTCGATTGCTGCTAACTCAATCCATCATTGTTTCTTGAATCAAGATTAAGCGAGTATGAAGGAGAACTACGTCCAGCAAAGCGATGAAATGCACCAGAAACCTCAACGACTGCACCCCTCATCAGTCGGCAGAAAAGGACCAACCTCTGTTCACTCCACGATAACGCGCGAGCACACATACCACTACCGACGCTGCTAAAGTAGAACGAGTTGGGCAACGAAACTGTGCCTCATCTTCTACACACTACAGACCTCTCGTCTACTAGTTACCATTTCTGCAAGGCTTATGAAAAGTTCCTGTGCGAGAAGTATAAGCCCGCTGGATTGTTTTCATGAAAATTCAATTGTTTCTCTAAAATTTCGATCTCACTTTCTGAACAGTTAGCATCTTTTGGTTAAGGACTTTGGCTCTTTGAATAGAATCCAAGCAGGTTATGTTCAATTGCACGACAGTCGCAAAGCAAAACGTGTTTGCTTACTAGGATACTCACATGGCCCGCCTTCATAAGTTATGCGGACCCTAGCACACTTTTACTCAATTTTTTGCCTTGTGATCGTTCTTCCATCGGTTTGATTAGAGTATAGTGGCGTGAGCGAGTCTCATGCCGTAATATGTAAAACAATTGCAGCAATGAGTATAGCTGATTGAGTTTACATACAAAACGTCCTCCCATTCAGTAGATGTTCCAGGGAACGATTGCAACCATGTTGAGTCCAATATATGGTTCTTTTTGTCTACTTGTAGTCTGTTTTTCTCATTACATAACAAGCCTATCTATATTTTGCTGTCAATGTAGATCCTCCTGGATTCCAAAGATAAGACAAGTTGGAAAGGTGGGCTTTCGCCTAGATGTGGTGCGTGCCGGCATATGTTACATCGCTCATGCGCTCTGTGGTAGGTGTACAAGTTCAACGGCGTCGTTGAAATATCAGCTCAAGTCTGTGCTGTGAAATGGAGCGCTTGGAGGACTGCTGAGTCGAACAGAGCGGATTTTTAAGCCGGCCAGTTGGTTGTTGGCTTCCTTGAGAGGCCTAGATGCGACTCGTACTGCTCCCATTCTTCTGTCTGATTTTTCATTCATTTTGTTCTCCATGTTCATCTAACACCTAGGGTACAAACATTTAAGAGGTGGTCCCTGCAATCAGAGAACCATCTAGTTTGATTTGTTCTCATTCGCACCGTGGATTTTTCATGAACTCGGTTTTCTGGCGATTTATGCGTAGTACGATTTTCTTTCGCGCTTCGCTCACCTCATTGATCATCGTCTGCGCTACATTGCTACTTCTTGAAAAAATGACGATGTCGCTAGCAAAAAGATTTGTTTAAAAATTTCCATCAACAACTATGCCTTATCCCGGTCGAATGACTTCATAATTCACTACAGTGCAGCAGTAAACTGCTTTGGCGATAGAGTGTCGCCTTTTCGAACCCGTTTCGCTCTCAGGATGGCAAGAAGTCTGTGGAAAGGTAGTATTTTTGTAGTGTGGCTTCGGTAAGAGAGTTCTTATGCAGGACGGGCGCAATCCATGATCGACGAGCGTTGTTAGGATAGTATTCGTTTAGACGCTGTCAAAAGCTTTTGTATATCCCATAAAAGTCAAGACTATGGAGAGGTGGTATTTCCGAAAATCCCTATGTCTCTGCACACGGCGTAGATGTCCATGCAGCAGAATGCCCTTTGGAAATCTGCTCGCTCAACTGGTTGTGCTTCATCCAAGGTTTTCGGTATGCGCAAAAGGATAATCTTCGTGAAAACTTGTACAGTATACTCAACATGCGTCTCCGAAAGATCTCTTTAGTCACTTCTGTTGGGCACGATAACCGTGAGCGATATCCTCCACTGGTAATTTTTTTCCATTGAAGCTAAGTCTTTACATGGCTTGCGAGAAGTACATTTAAATTGCGGTTTCCAGCTCCAAGGATGTCGGCAATGATATCGTCAGCTCCTAAAGCTGTGTTTCTTTTCATCCTTTCAATCGTAACTCGAACCTCCGACGGAAGAATTCCAGGTGGTTTTCCCCAGCGGAGACTTTGAGGTCTGAGACAGCGATTGTGGAACAGAAAAGGCCGGTGTAGAAATTTGCCGTTTTCAATTCTATATTGTGGTAAGAAGTCTTAGTGGTCCCATCTTGCTTCAGTAGGACTGCAGAAAGCAGGACATTATAATCGGTCGGACAAGTCCTGATCGCATTTCTTTAAACTGTTTCTCTTGGTCTTGCTTTCAACAATTTCTTCTGCTTGTATCGATAGAAACCATCGTGCAAAGTTCTCCTATATTTGGTATCCATGACTTGTTTTGTTATGTGTGTTATAATAGGATCATGCTTTAGTTTCCTTTTATTTTTGAGCAACTCCTTGGTGGTATGGAGATGCGGTCTGATTTTATTGCTCGAAGAGGTGAGGCGAATTGGCAAAAGCTTTAAGGCCTCCAAAAAGCAGCTCGTAGTCCACTGTCGGGCCTGCTCTGGCCTGGGTCTGGATTTGTTACTCACGTTTAGATAGCATTTTTTGCACAATCTTCTCGTCATATACAACTTGACACTTTTCCCTGATCGATGACATAAATTCTTTTTTGCCATCTTTCTTTGCCGTCTTTGCCGAGGTTTATAGAAAGTCGGTCTTTCGAGTTATTAAGACATTATCGACAAAAGTCCTGAAAGACGGTTTTCATTCTTGTTTTTTTCTCCTAATCCAAATTTCCCGATCGCATACTCGCTATCGTAGGCCATCACTATCCTGGCGTTGAAGTTCAACTTTTCCAATTCGCTAAACACAAAACATAGTAAACAAAACTAGTAGCGGCAATTTTGCTTACTTGGCTTATGAAAATGACAAGAAGAGCACGTTCGCAGACAACCTACAAGGTCTGAAATGCAACGTAGATCTGAAATACGTGTGATACCCAATAACGTAAAGTTCCAGTTAGTTAACACTTAAGTTACAGCCGCAATAATGCTGCGAAGATCATCGAGAAGCGTCTAAATTCCCCTATCCCGTCTGTCGGTTCGCTTTCAATAAAGTTCGACACACCGTAGAATCAATCTGGTACCCTTGAATACTGGCCACAAGTACCATATTCGGCAAAGGGTTGAGGTAGGTACGCATCACCATTTTTGTTCACCCACGTTTAGATATGATACCTTGCCGTGAAGAAATAATGGGCGGTAGATAGAGGTTATACCAAACATGGTGTTTCAAAAAGCGACTTTCCTACCGATCAATAGTACCCTACTCAGTATAAATTTTGCTCAAAAGATCACCAATAAAGACATGGAAGTTGAGACATATGCCACCACATGCGATCAAATCATGGGTACGCCTATATTTTAATGAAAGATGATCGGAAAAACTTTCGATACTGTTCAATCCCTAGGGGATGTGCCATACAACCCACCTCAACAAGCATTTCAGAGGTGATTGAACCCATATTTGACCTGTACAATGATTTTCCGTGGCTCGCCGATGAATTAAGTGAGTGTAACTACCCTCTCAGACAAGCTTGGTCTGGATTTTCTGACTCGGAAAGGAATGAAGACTTGATGAACTCGGACATGAGATCGAATTAACTGCTGACCTAGCGTATATTGCAAGGCACCTAACTATTTCGCTACGCACGCCGCGTTTTCGTATTAAATTTGTGGCCTCTTACCTATAAATGAGCAGGATATTACCTGAAATCATAGAACCAAAGAAAACAGCTGGTCAGAGTTGAGAAAAAATGAAACTGCAGCTCGCCAGCCCATAAATTAGTTGTTTAGCATGATGATAATCTGTCCCGTTGATAGCATGCATAGACATGAAGAAATTCTCGAAGCGATGGTCTACAGTAAGCGGATAAAATGTTAACGCTCTCACTTCAATATATAATTTCAGCTTATACGCCAAACTGGTTCGCAAAACAAACACTACTCATTCCTTCATCTATTCTGTTCTTCTAAACTCACTATCACTACTGTAGTGCTCGCGTTCAGTTTGTGAGTGAAGCTCTTCTTTACTGTCTATTCTCCCATTTTTTATCCTCGACCTTTTTCCATATAATATTGAAACATTTAAAAAAGTAAATGTTCAAAATTCTAGGCTCTTGCTTGAGAATTAAAACATTTTCACACTCTGAAAAATAAGAGTGATTGGAATGGTCAGAAGGTATAAGGTATTATATTCATGGTATAGTCTAGAACCCACTAAATCCTTCTAATATTGGATGTCCTTCTCGCCATGAATTTAATCACTTGGATGATTGAAAAGTAGATCTCCAATTCCAACCATAACAAAGAGCTCCCGTGGCTAGACCCAATGCAGATTCCACCGGAAGACATGAAGTTAGGTTACGCTGGTTGCACATGGGAGATACGCATTCACTACAACACTCCGTGTCCACTGCTGAATAAAAACATCAATTCGTTATATCGGTAGGTCTCCACAAATCACTGTATAGGCAAATCCATTCAATCGCATTCATCTCGACGACGCTAAGTACGGAATCGGATGCATGGCGCATTCCTTTAAGAATGAATGCCGAACACTTTAATCTCTATTCTTTGCATATCATAGTAACTGCGTTCAAACTACGAAACAAGAATCTTTTCCGACAGTATATAGTGTGCAATGAAACGAATATAGATGGATTTTTCCATTTATTAGGTCGATACATATGAAGTGTCCGATTATGCTGCTTTAATTTTCCGTGCAATTTTTTCAACAAAAATCTTGTTCTTTATGTATATTTAATAGCACAATGTCTGCCCATCTTACATTTGTATTGATTTTACTCAGGGTTTATTATTTTAACATTTCTATAGGCTTTAACTTTAGTATGAATCAACGTGGTATTCGTGTCCTTTTTTTTCGTATGAGTGGAACAGTAGACATAGTCTTAACTCTTTTATTTACTGCCTTTTTTTTTCTTCTTAATGGCAGGTTATGTTTCGAATTATAACTCGTATGAAATGCTGAGATATTTGCAAAACTCCGGACCACAGGTGTATGCAGTGGAGAACGAACACGCGCTGTTGTCCTTACCGGGGAGCAGCGCACTTCACCACTACACCATCCGGGTCCTTCGCTTTGCATGTATCTCAGCTAGTTCTACGAGTAGACATAGTGCTGCGGCGAGAGCTCGGAATATCATCAATTTTAGTGTGAAGGTGGTGTTGGTGAATCAGTGAATCAACAGTGCAAACGTGGTTCCGGAAATTCCGATCTGGCGATTTCAACCCCGCCTCGGACGTCCTATTGAATTTGACGGCGACGAATTGTGGGCATTAGTGCAAGCAAACGCACAAAGCTATTCGAGAGCTTGCATAACAGGTCCTTCCTCACGACAACGCACGGCTTCACGTTGCGGAACGAGCGCTACAGAAGTTGAACAAGTTGGGCTACGAAACTATGCCTCATCCGCAATATTCATCAGGCCTCTCGCTTGCCGACTATCACTTCTTCAACCACCTCAACAACTTCCTGTGTAAAAAGCGAAAAACCAGTCACGATGACGCAAAAAATCTCTTCAGCGAACTCATCGCTTCCAGAATTCTATGCAACTGGAACAAATAAACTTATTTTTTTAAAAGAAAACTGATTCTAATGGTGCTTATTTCTATTAATAAAATTCAGTACGAAAAAGTTGTGGTTATTTAAATTTTGCATTTCAAATCGGACATTTCATATGTTACAAGCTAATAGCATTTCAATGACACCGGTGTAACGAAATCGTCAGCCTCTAACAGAAATTTTGCAATCTTCTTTTTAAGAGAAATATTTACGTATGGACTAGTCCTTTATGGTATATTATGGTAGAAGAGTTATTTGGTGATTTGTGGTTTCCATAATAGGTACATCGACTCCTCATACATGAATTTTTAGCTTCTCTACATCTATTGTAAACTACGGAATTCTGTTCAACATGGAGAAATTAAGTGGTTCAATTTACTTGAACTCAGTTTATACTGGACTAATGAGGTTTGGGTTTTCTAACGATTTCGAAGGAAGAGAATCTCTGTTTACATCTATCAGAAAAAACAGTAAGACCAGTAGATGTTGTAGTGGTATCCACTGAGTCCTAAGTCAATGTGCCAAGCTTCATAAAACACTTGTTACAAGCTTAGCAACTAGAACCGTTCACAATACGTAGTGACAGGATGAATTCATCCAATGCCACTACTTTTCACTGGGTTTTTTCTCAGATTCCTAATATATTTCGCTTATCGGTGAAGGATCTACTGAAATTATGCTAGCGGCCTTAAAAACGCTATCTCCATCTCTCAGTGGAAAAATGAGGGCTGGAAATCCGAATTGAAGCATCAAACTCATTGCTATACCACTGTCTTACAACTATAAAATCCCTTGTTTCACGATGAGGTACTAAGTAATAATAAGTCTCTCCGGAAAGTAGTGCGCTCAGTTTTTTACTTCTTTAGCTAACGTACTTCTAGCCTATAACACACAAAGAAGGTCTGTAGTTGAAAGGAGGGGAACGAAAATTTAATTTCAAGAACGCAGTGAGGAAAAGTGATGTAAATCCTGCAAAATATATAAAGCTCCCAGATCCTGAATTGATATCAGTCGAAAGGGACTTGAAAAGTGTCAAACATCGATACGATTTGAATAATTGGTATATTGGTAATAAATAGCCTTCCAGGGGCGGATAGTACAGTGGTAGTTATGTCCGTAGTCACGAACATGGTGCTAGTGCGATTCCGTTTTGGACCAACCAAGCCTCTCATCCCTCCGAGATCGGGAAATTGGTGCCGGACTTGTCTGGAAAAAAAAAATCACTCCCTGTAATCCAATTGGAAACATTCCAGTCCAGCTATCTCAGGACTTAAAAGAGAATTGCTCGACTAGCATTCTACATGATTCAAGATAGAATGAAGATCTTCAAGCCACAACCGAGGCCACACATAAAGTTGGGAGGTCTTTATGGACAGGGGATGCGAGGGAACGAATAGAATGTGAGAAGTACTGGAATCTGCACAGTAGACGTGAAGACGTGTCATATGAAATAAAAATAAAAAAGTAAAAAAAATAGCCTTCCAAGTCTCAGGGCTAGACAAATACGATTGATCAATGCTAAACGTTTTACCCTTCACTTTTCATAGTGTCGAAGATAAAAAAATCTGGGAGGTCTGAAAATCGGTTAACTCAAGTAGCCTTCAATAGATTTAGGTGGAAATGCCTGATGAAGATGAAGAATTAGATGGGAAGTCTTTATTGTTGATAAAGAAAAATCACCATATACTTAGAAATTACAGAGTTAAGAACTTTGACTCTTACCACTGTAGGATTCTAAACCCAACGAGGAAACCAAGGACTAATATGCAATTCATTAAGATATGTTTGCAATTTGACGCTGGGCTATGCTGATCTTAAATTCAAGAGGATTGGAAGAAAATTTGTGCATACCTCTGGACTTGTGATCATCATTCTCTCACTAGCATTTGTCATTATAGCTCATTTCTTTGGTGAGTTAGTTATCATGAATGTTGGACGAATCCTTGCAGATTCAACAGTCGTCGTTCATCAGCTTGTAGTTGGATTTGAACCAATGATTCAGGTCTCAACCATATGCTTAAAGAAGAAGTGCGATTACTTATTCTATTGGCTAGTTCGATGACGTCACAGGTTGGTTTTATTACCTGCATCGGAAGGAATTTTCAACAGAATTTCCTCTTTTTAAAATCTCCACAAAGAAACTTCAGTTTTAAAATCGTCTGCGAAGGAAATCCAGTACACTTGATCGATATGTGAGGGCATGAACACTAAAGTACACGATTTCCTAACCAATTTACCCTCCTAAGAACTCCCATTAAAGTCTCCCTGTCTTATGGACTTCACGTTAAATGGAATATTAAGTTGCTTAATATGAAGCATTCAATTTCGAACAAAAAGCTTATAGCGCTCTAATTTTCTCACTAAGAAATTGAAATGACCAACAAAATTGGGAACTATTGCTACCAATACACTTTTTAGAAGATCAGAGCGTCCACTTACATAAAAGATTACCTCTTTAAATCTGATCCGTTCACCTAACCATTTCTCTGAAGAAAGTATTATCCATTATTGATAGATCCAGCGAGTACGACGGAGAACGCAAAGCTTTTCTCGGTGTGTTCATATTGCAAAATTGAACATTTCGTATCCAGTAACCTATAAAAACTGTTGATCATACATCTACCCAGTTTGCTTAGGGCTCGTTTTATGGAGGAAAATCAAGAAATAGAGAATGGTAACAAAAAATCGGCTGTTCCCCACCTTCACCACTGCTTACCTGGAGGTTTTCTTCACGCTGACTATGTCGCTCTTCTCTCCCACTCAGTTGGGCTGTCCTAAGCTTTTTGATACACATGGTTGCTTCGCGACTCATATGGCATAAGCATTTGTTGATCGAAATTTCGTTAAACGTAAACGAGCACTCATTAAGAGTCGCTTTTCACAAACACCATATTCTCTGATATTCATTTGAAATCCATCCTTTGACGTGGACAACCAAGTTAGTCAACATTCGTCCCGCTTTATAGATGCTTGTTATTTTTACGACATGTCGGCATCAACCAGAAAATAGTCGCGTTTGCGTACGTCGATCGCCGCTGCAACGCACTCCTATTCAAAAATTCAAGCAAAGTTTGTACAATGCCCTCAATTTTTATTCACCGCCTATTCCGCCGGATAGGGCAATAGCGTGTTCGGTCCCCACCGCAGACGCCAGCGGTCCGGAGTTTTGCATATATCTCAGCAGCATTGTGGTTATAAGGTTTGTACACTAAATTTTAGGTTTTTGAGAGATATTGTTCTATTGCCGTAATTCCCTCTTTCAGTCGTGACGTGCATCGTAAGCCAATGAAGTTCTAATTGTCATGTTTTTGAAAAACCGCCAAGAATTTGAGTCTATTAAAGAAAAACTTCTAGAGATGTCCAATCAATTATAGATCAATGTATGCTAGGTGATTTAGCAATGTTTGCTCAGAGGATACTGTGGGTGAACAATCTGTAATGTCGTGTACGAATCTTATTTGTACAGCGATACTGCCTTATTCGTTTTTCACTCACAAGTAGACTGAATTACCATAAATGTCACGTGAACGGACAAATCAGTATGTAGTGAGCCACTCCATGCACTATGTCGCTTGACAAGTGAGAGTTCGCTCTTTATTCAACAGTGCTGCCTGCGTACGGATAATGCTGATAAACTTGAACAGCAAACACTTTCACTTATCTTGTAGGTGGTCGCCTTTAGACGAGGCTATCATAGTTCCAGTGTGTTTTTCATTGTTCCTTAGGCCTATACATCCTCGACTTAATATTGTTAATCGGCGCCTTTAAACTTCTCCTTAAAAGCTCAATAGATCGTGAAGAAGAGGTAAAAAGGATGACAGAATAAAACATTCAGCGCGCCTTAGGTATACACCATACATTCGACGCCATAAACATAGTAGAGGTGATTGAATACATACTCAGTTTGTAGAGTGGTTTGCGTAGGTCAGTGCCAATGTTTCCAGTCAGGGCTTTTATTCTTTAAGATATTGGTTGAGATTTGAGGTTTCTTAAGTTTAACTGCATAGTAGAGAATTAGACAAGCTCCTGAGTCAAATAGACCAATGTGCAGATTTGTTTCCTTGAAAGACCTGGAGGTTTGTTCCGTGATCTGTGTTGGTTGGACAGAACGTTCATGTTTAACACAAAAACAATTCTTCCTAAAACTTGAATATGGCTAATATGGTGCAATACGGAAGCATCCCTGTTATCCAGAATACCTAATTGGTTGATTTCTATCCAAAATCTCCAACTAGTAGAGTTCAGTATCGGCCACAACCAGTGAAGACCCATATAATCCACCCTGAGTAGGATGGCCATGAGGTTTGATCTGATTTTTTCCATTTCGAATTTTCTGTAAAAACGTAAACTCTGAAGACACAAGCAGCTAGCGGCTTCCGCATAAAGGAAATTACGCTGCTATTTTTGTCCCAGCAACTGTTCCGTTTCTGACGCGTTCAACTCCTAGCAAAACCTCAGCGATAAAAGGCCAAAGTTTTTCTCTAAAGTAAAGCTCGCTTCTAGAACCGAAGTAGTGGTCCGAAAACGTTTTCATTACATTTTTGTCGTGAGTCAACCAAACACATCCATAATCAAGCAGAAAAGACATAAGACCAAGATTTCAATCGCAATGAAAACAAAACACCTGCTTCGCATATTTAAAGCTTTCTATGAGCCTTCCACTGAGTACTTCACGTGCAGATCAACCGCACAAAGTTCACAATGAAGGGTAGGGTGCCCCTCTCAAAGATCACTCTTAAGCATAGTGAAATCAAAATGATGCTGAAATATCTGCAAAACTTGGACTCCAGGTTGGAACCCACGATAACCCTTTTCTGAAGCTCACGTGCTACTTACCGCACCACTGAAGCCCTTAATTTGCCTTTCTCACTCTTTCTATTTACCGAAACGGTGCCATTACAAATCACCCTTCAACGGGAATGATCTGAGGGAATTAATTGGCATGTGGTTGTATCTCATATAGCACCTTACTGTGGAAGAAATATTAGGTATTAAATGAAAAGTTAAACATTGTGATTTCGATTGTATCCTCAGCATAACTGGGTTACATGACTATTTCTGCTCCTGAGATCGTCCCCGCTGACGGGTGATTGCTGCGGCACTGTTAGGGTAAAAAACAAGCTGAGAAAAGGCAAAGGCCTCATTCGTGCAATAGTAACACGTGAGTCCCTGGTAACGGTAATGCTATCTCAAATTTGGCGTAGATTCCAAATTTAGCAAATATCTCAACATCATTGTAGTTTACCTTACACAGCATTTAAGGCTGATATTTTAAAGCGAGAGAGGCTACCCAACGCTTCCATACGAAATGACGTAATCCACCGTCTTACAGATTGATCAAGGTCGTTCTTAAATTTCTAGAACAAGAATAGATCTATGAAGTGATCTGTCACCTGCATCACTTGTGGTCCCGTTGATCGTCGAGTGACTCGAACGGGCGCCAGTAAATCTTCCATTTTCTTGCCGCGTGCAAGAGTAGCCAAGTGGGTTCTGCTCGCTCTAGCGACTCATTGGGCATCATACCTTTCTTCAAGGCTCTTTGTGAAGAACTCTGACCATCGGGTTAGTGGTCTTCCTGCAGCACGTTTGACACAGCGAGGAATACAGTCACTACGGACTGTTTTCCATAGGATGTCATTCGTGCGCATAAAGTGCCAGCACACCTTATTTTCGACAGTTTGATATATAGAACGGCATTTTAAATTACCGATCATTTGGACATCGAAGTTTCGGATCATTTCTCTTACTTGTGTGACTATCCCTAGCATTATCCTTTCGACGTTCAATGACGTTGACTGATCTTTTAATGAACGTACGCAGCGATCAGGTTTCTGGCTCATACTTTATGAAGGGAAGAACCGTGGAGTGGAAAAGGTGGGCACGGAGTCGGGTGTTCTTTATTCTCTTCGCTATATCCTCGATGATCTTAAAAGCTCCCCAAGCTGTTCATTTCCTTCTGCTCAGCTCTGGAGCTAGGTCGTTCATCATATTGATTTCCCGACCTAGATAGATATAACTGGAGCATTCAGAGATATTCGTTCCGTTGAGCGTGAACGGAGCATGCGAAATCAATCCGTTCTTCATGAACATCGTTTTTGTGAGATTTAGTCGAAAACCAATCTTTTCACAGGCTTTATCAAAGTCGGCGAGCATACGTTCCGCTTGGCTAATATTTGATGTTATAAGGACGATGTCATCAGCAAAGCGAAGATGGTGTAACTGCCGACCGTCGATTTTTACTTCCATATTATCCTATTCCAATGTTCGCATGATTTTCTGGAGGGTGGCGGTAAATAATTTTGGGAGATGGTATCGCCTTGCCTAACTCCTTTTTTGACGTCAATGTTAATATCGTTGCAGAATGGTGATGTCTTGGTTATGAAATTTTTGTACAGCTCAAGAAGAATCTTTATGTACTGAGTAGGGACTCCTTGACTATCAATGGCTTCCATAACTGCTTCTGTCTCAATTGAATTAAAGGCCTTCTATAAATCGATGAAAATGAGACAAAGCGGTCTTTTGTACTCTCACGATACTTCAACGAGTCTTGTTATCGTGTGGATGTTTTCCATCGCACTAAATCCTTTTCGAAGCCTTGCTCGCTCACATGGCTGTTCTTCGTCTAGTGTTCTGTCAATCCTGTTTAGGATGACCCGAGTTTGTAGACGACAGACAGTAAGCAGATTGGGAGATAGTTGCCGATATCGTGTAGGTCACTCGTCTTGAACAATAACAAGGTCTTGCTGGTCTTCCACTGAGTAGGGACCTTGCATTCAGACAGGTAACGTGTGAAGAGCCGAGCCAGTGTGTTTACGAGAGTTGACGGAAGGTTCCTCAGGTGTTCTGATCTTATTCTCTCCGGACCTGGTGCTACTCGACTTTTCACCGATGAAATGGCACGTCGGATTTTGGAAGGGAGAACCGGTGGTACAGCAGATCCATCCTCCTTTATTTCATATGAGGTGGAGGTTGTTATCGAGGAGATCTAAGTAGTATTCGTGAATGATTTTCTCCATTGTCTTGCTGGACGCTGTAACTGTTCCGCCTGGGCGTAGGAGTGCAATCATTTTGGTCTTATAATTGGCGAAGCTTCGATGGGCTTTGCGAATGCTTTCCCCAGCCTCTGTAGCTTCGACCATTACTGCTGCTCTTCTGCGAAGTGATCTACGCATAAATATCTAGCAGTTTTAATCTAAAACCAACTTGAATGAACATCTATGAAATGCTAAAGATGTTGGAAAATATTTCAGATCTATGTCACCACGGGAGTTGTCGGTAACGAACTTTTCCCTACTCCTATTCGGAATGTGGGGTACGCGTTTCTACAACTGTGGAACCGTCTCGGTGTTATCGCCTCGCCATTTGTTTTCTACAGGGTGACCACAAATTTACACTTCTTTTAGAATTCTATTAGTATTAGAATTGGCTTAATCGTTAAGTTTCTATTCAAGGGAATCTCCCTAGTCATGAACAGAAAATTGGTTAGTTGGTGAAAAACTAGGTTATGAGCATAAAAAATGCAATGAGATCACACTTCATTCTAACCTGTACGCGTTTAATCTCACCTAAAATAGCTTATTTCTCGATACCAACGAGGAATTCCACTTGTTGCCAGTACAGGAGAAAATTGATACCGATACTTCAGGCGACTGCCACGGCTATCATGCCTTATTGCATCATGGTCACCTTTTGTCTCATCGACATGCTCGCCTTCGAGTGCCTCTTACCAGAAACTAAAGGGATGCACCTTGCTATCCAAATGCCATCACTAGAAGAAAGATTGATGAAAGGTGTTTTTCTGAACTCCACTTATATGAAACCGCTTCGGAGCTGCCGGTACTCGCTAGTCTCTATGGCAGTCATTTCTTCTCCATTGAACTATATTTTAACTTACTCCATCTTCAATAGTCATCTTAATGACTACACCTGCTTTCAGGTAGAAAATACCATCGACAAAGCACAAGAGGCGGAAAACTGGTGGCCTCAGAAGTCTAACCATCGTTGATACAGGAAGCCAACTTCCACAGATACGAATACAAGCAATTTATCAGATTTATTATCTGTCTTACAATAACATCATCTTTTCAAGTAAAATTCCAGAATACAATGACCAACTTTGGGACATAGGAAAGAAATCACATAATGATACACAGTTCTTGAGACTAAGGGAACCGATATACTAGAACAACTACTTGAAAACGAGGAATAGGCAAATAAAAACAGAAGCACATGCATACTCATATCGAAAACGTAAACAGCTGGACCCATTTAAGCCGACCACACAAAAACATTCAGGATCATTAATGAGACGCATAAGCCTACTCGGAAACAGAATCGCAGTCACCTTAGTTATTAAATGAGTTCCAATACAAGTCCTTCGCGATATGCCGTGGATGGGAAAGCAATCAACAAGTATTCGTGAAAATATCTAGCACACAGCAAACTCCTAATACCACACTAGTCGAGATGAACCGATTTAAAACGTGAGGAACAGCAATCATCAAATGACAATGAAGATCTACAGAGAAGTAACACAAGAATAAACCAGACGAAAGAACTGATCGTATTAGAATCCGATTACTAACGATAAAAAATGGACATAAAATCGGTAAAGAACCTGCGTAAAGTCAACTAATCATAAAGTACACCGACAACGGGAGATGTGAAGACGAATATCGCGGCTGAAGAATTACCACAGAACTACCGACCGAGATGCTAAAGAAAAAAGCGAGATTGACGGGAACATGGCGATGACGTCACGTTGGCCACATAACGCTATAGAAAGTGGTAACAACTAGGCATTAACCCAATTTGAACGACGGCGGGTATCACAGATTAAGAGAATCAAAATTATGCATGGCCAATGCAATGACATGATAATCATACAACATGCAATATCCTTCTTCTGGTTCTACACATATGACAAGAAAAAATCAAATATTAGACACATAATTTCAAGAGATCACAAAAATGAAAGGCCTACTGGGCAGTGATAATGCTACAGGGCTTCTAGGAAGAAATACTTTAATATCACAACATATTAGGTGTGTCTGAACCTGTAGGAGTAGCCGAGTCGTAGACCGTATCGTTATCGCGTACTTCGGTCTGAAGACGGCATTGATGTTCTAGCGTACCCGCTCCACAATCGCAAAAAAATCTAAAAAAATGAATGACCAATGCCCAGCGGTAGATCGACACAAGCAGCTTAGGAAACTTCAATAAAAAAAAACTGGCAAAGTATCAATGGTCAGTGCGAGCAGCATGAATTGACCAATGTTTATGTAACAATAATTGATTGCCTTTTTACGTACCATCACGAACTCCAATGAGAATTCGGCCTCCTTCCCTCGAAGCCAACGGACCTCTCCATGTTTCCGATGTGGGAAATTGGTACCAGGCTAATTTGAGATGAGCTTTCTCCAACTCACAAGAACAAGCGGCCACCTGTGGCGAATACCAGGGAAAGCCATAGCACGGCTATCCTGAGAATCCAGGGAGACTCCATGCTGACTGGTGTTCAAAAACCCAAAAAGAAAATCGAAATTCTCAAGCAGCATCCAAACCCACCGTGAATCCGCGGACCGCTGTGGATGATAAATGCGAGGAAAGGCATCGATTGAAAAACGTGATAGGATCAGCACAACATAATATGTCTGGTCATGTACAATAAACAAACGGCAAATAGTGACCAATATGCACCAGTTAAGAGCACGACATATTGTTAGAGACAGTTCCAAGAAAAGTCAAATAATGCTGATTTGAACTAGCACATCAATGCTAAGTTCTTGAAAAATATACTACCTTTCGACACTGTTGGTCAACTGGAAGGCAGAGAAAGTGATTCTGTGGATGAAAGTGGCGGATGCAGCGTACTCATCAGCGACGACTTCTCTCACGAAACGTGTATATAGAAGTGAACTAACAATGACTCAATTACGCGTCATACTCCGTGCACTTCACGGTTATGAAGTATATAAATAAGCCTAACTTTACAGAAGCTAGCTGTTGATGTTGAAATAGGAGAAACGAGACAACTCCTTCAAGTGGCATGTTACCATTTGCGTCCTGTCTATGGGTACCTTTGTCAAGCAAGCCTGAGCATTTAGATCGCAACACTTTTGCAGTTCATATCGATCAAATCGCTCAACATAGAACTGCACCGTCCAAACACTGTGATAAGTTAACAAGACGCTGCTTCTTTTTCTGAGCAAAAGTTAGCATGCTTGCACGGAACAGTATCTTGTGGAGTGGCTAATAGCCGAATTTTACAGTTCCAACCGCGTTCATGTTACTTTATAGCCTCCTCATAAATTGCTCTAAAGAATCCTCAACATAAAATTACGAAAATAGAAAAGTATTTCAATGTTAAAATCCACCAAGAACGGTGGGGAGTATTACCAAAGCAACAATGACCAAAAGCACATAAAAAAGGATAAAGTGCTCGGCGTTGATCAATTCCTGAGGAATGTGCAAAACATTCAACTTCATTAAGCATCGTTGGAGGTAACTAAATGCATATCTGGCCTTTAAAATGACTCGCAGTGGGCTACCGATATATCGACCCAGTGCTGCTATTCTCCCGGACAAGTTGGGTACCAATTCGCCGACCCCGAAGGGATGGTGGGCCTGCAGCGCGGGAATCGATCCCCTATATACTGCGGGGCGTCTACGACCACTACACTACATGCGCACGTATACGTATATATGTATAGACATATACATATATATATACATGCATATGAAGTATCACACAGAAGAGAAACAAATTATCTCTTACCGGTCGTGTCGGACGAACTCGACTGTGTGCCCTCGATGACAATTCTTAATGCAATTAATGCAGATCGCATTTCGTTCAGTGGTATTACAGCTAACACATCTGCAAAAAAATTCTGAATTTAACATGACAGCAGAAACCAATATGGAAGTATTTACCGGTAGAAATCATGCATAGGAAATGATGTACAACTGCTGATCTTGAACAGACATTGACCACGTCCAACAGCTCTTTCTACTGCATTATGATTGTCGTAAATCTTATTATCACGAAGCACAGGTTTCACATCGGTCGCAAGGCACAATCCTGAAAAACATGTTAGAACCACTCAACTCAGTACGACAAGCATGTCACTAGGACGCCTAATTTTTCAATGCCACTAGCTGTAAATTGAATTCAACTCACAGCGACCACAATGTACCCTTTACTTCCTCCCAGAACCTATCGCTTCTACTGTATTATTCACCCTATAACCCCGTTTTCGATATAATTTTCAGCGTCCGTTTTTCCTATTCCACGCAACATCCAACTTTTCTACACGTCTTTCCATGTTTTCGAAAGACTTTTTATCCAACTCCAATGTGATGGAGAATGATTCTCCGATCGTCGAACTACGAGATTTTCAGTATTTGGCCATTGCTCCATCAAATAAAGTAGGTACAGTTGGCCATTTTTGAATATTTTTGCATCTATCTATTCCACACTACAAAATATAACTCAACACAGCGATTGAAAAGGAAGGAATATTAACTTACTAGTCGAAACGTTAATTTTAAAGGCTGAAAACATATCTGTTCAATGAACTTTGTTCTCGATCATCTTCTCTTTGATGATGAAAAATACATGGAAAACATAGGAGATTGTGGAAAATATCTTGTGATTCTCGTCGAGTAGTCCGAAAAAAGCGAGATACGGACCAATATGATAATGGTGATGAAGCCATGGTGGATTTACTGACCAAACAACGTAGTTCTTCGGACTGTTGTATTTTAAAGATAAATGACAGTGGTATAGTTTTATTAACTTTTTCTTACTTACGAAAATTTTATTTACGAAAGATTTGGGAAGTGGTTACTGAGGAGATCAACAGATATGCATAGGAGTATGACCACCGGTGTGAGCCGAAAAACCTTAAAGCATTCGTTGGTCTGTACCTACGGGAACTGTGAGACTGTCGTAGTCACGAAAATGTTAGAGTTCCAATATGCTTGCAAGAAGAGGTTACCGAAAGTAGAAATTTGATATGGTTTTAGTTGTGAAATTCTTAGATTATATAAAAAACATATTTAACCAAAAAGAAGTTACTACCCTGTAATTTGTAGAAAGATATACTGTGTGGAAGAAGGGCGACGCACATAGTAGGTTTGATTCTTCAGAATCTCTTTCCGCCACACTCTTTGTTAACAACGATTTCGCCTGTCATCGCACAAAAAGACTTTTTATACATCATAAAACGTAGCCACCCATGGCCAACACCTGGGACAGCATAAACATAGTTTTGAGTAAGTTCTCCGATTGAATATTCTTCCTTAAAAAACCTTTTCATCCTTTTATCTACTAAGCACAAAAGTAATGCAAAAAACTCTCTGTGGCAAGATAATCCACTTCAAAAGAAAAAAAAAACGAGTGGAAGTCAACTCATACCAGCCAATTTACCATCGCTTTTACTTAAGTATAAATCAACTCATGCTGTCTCGAACGTAATAGATCGAAAACTATTATAACAATGCAATAGGAAGGAAACCAACCTCCAAACTTATTGTGGAAAAGTTGATTTGCCTCTAATGTAGCAGAGGCACCATTTGTTATCTCAACTCCTGCAGCTTTTCCCTCAAAAATGCGATTTCGTCGTAGAGTTGGATTCGACTCGGTAGATATAAGAACACCTGCTTGTGCGTTTCGGTAGATATCGTTATCTTCAAGAAGACCTAAATGTAAGTTTGAAAACCAACTTGATATAAACCACACTGACATCAACACTGAGCAAAAATCGTGAATTCAAAGCTTCAGAAAATTGCACCCCGTCCATTGTTAAATATACACACTCCTCCGTCACGTCCGTCGTAAATTTTGTTTCTACGTAAAGTTGGATGACTGTCGGTTTTGATCCAAACGCCTGCCATGGCATTATCAAAAATTTCGTTGTCTAAAAATCATTCGGCTCACAAAAGAACGTGGGAAGAACTGAGAAAAAAGTAATGCTTGACACAGATGTGATCGAAAACAATAAGCTACCTTCTAACATTCCCAAACCACCATTGTAAACCAAAACACCGCCATTTTGGCCACCCCATATACGATTACGTGTAATCTTGGGATTTGATCCAGTTCTATAATTTAAGAGCATTAAAATGAGCATTTGAATGCTCGATTTTACTTCACACTTACCGAATTTGAACACCTGAGTAGAGATGGTTGAATATGTCGTTCTCCTCCAGAAGCCCGTGCCCATTATCATAGAAATAAACACCGACCTACACAGTAATTACTCATTTGATTCTCAAAACATACTAAACAGAACAACAAATAATTGCAGCACCTGTTTTCCTGAATGGATTCTGTTCTTCCTCAAGATAGGAGAGGACCCCGTTGTAACCCAAATACCAGCAAGGGTATTACCATAAACCTCATTCTCCTCAATTAGGCCCTTTCCTTTTTCATGCTGTAGAGGAAAAATAGACAGATAATGGAATCCAGAAATGGCAAGAAAAAGAAAAAAAAACCCACCACATAAATTCCACCGTGTAATCCATCGTGTATCTTGTTAAGGCGAACGATTGGATCGCTGCATGTTCGTATTTGAATGCCCGCTAATGCATTGCCATATATATTGTTTTGTTCTATCAAACCTCGCCCTGATGATGCAATTTGGTTAAAAGATAAGTAAGAGAAATAGAAGAATATCCAGCTGTTTTACCATCACCGAAGATGTACACTCCTCCTTGTTGGCCAGCATAAATCTCATTTTTTCGTATGGTAGGGTCCGAGCTGCCCGTTATCCAAATGCCAGCAAAAGCATTTGAATATATTCGATTTTCCATGAACCTTCCTCGACCTGAACAACTTAGTAAGGGTTTGACTGGAAAAATATAGTGCAAAAAACATCTTAACATATAACACCGAAAAATGCCTTGCTAAAACTTCCACTTCATTCTTCAAAACTTCAAAAATAAAAAAAATTAAATCCAGAAATGAAACATTAAAGACAGTGCTAATTTCTCAACAACTGCGGACAATCTCTGGGTAAATAGAGCCCTTAAGAAATTGGAAACTTGACAGACTTACAGAAGGAGCTTTACCATCTAATTCTCTGAAAATTATTCTTGAAAGTTATTAAAATCAAAGCGCAAAGAAACGGTACAATAAGAACTTCCCAAACTGTAACGAAACCACGGGAACTGCCAATTGATGAATCAATCGAAGACACCATGTCTGTGGTAGGACAACCCGATTTATAAATTGTATGGCTATTCGGAATGAAAGCGTCGATGAAAAATACGGAAAAGTAGGTGGAAAATTAGAACGCTGAGGAAGAGTAATAAAATTAGTACACTATTCCTAAAAAATAGTGGACGTCAATTATTTTTACTTCAACTATTAATATTAATAAAGTTGACTAATAAACTGAAGTATAATGAAAACGATAAAGTTCCCAGCGTTGATCAATCTCTGAGGGATGCGCCATGCATTCGATTTCATCAAGCTTCATTAGAGGTGACTGAGTACCAGTGGCGCTATCCCCCTAGACGCATTGGAACCAATTTCCAGTCCCTGAGGAATGGAAAGCTTGGTTAGCCTTGAGAGCGGGGGTGGAGGCCATGTGTCTGCATGGCACCTCTAACCACTGCGCTACACGCACCTATAAGCTGGGATATGATTGCTTAAAGTTGAAAGTATAAATTATTGTGTCAGTAGAAAAAAGTAATATCGGGTTTCGTCGCGAAACTGACTAACGAATTTCGTAATAATTACTGTTATTATTACTTATTTTGTTCATGTATTTCACTTAAAATTTACCCTTCTCTTAACGTCATATAAAACTGCTTACCTACCACTTAATTTACAATGAATTTATGTAAGGTGGAATAATCCCAAAAAAGCATGAAAGTCGTAGTTACCCTTCATGAGTTTAAATGTGGGCGTAAAGCAATGGTAGCGACTCAAACGTCATCAAGGGACCGATGAAGAAACGGCTTCTGAACGCCCAGTACAAAAACGATAGGCAAGGTTCCGTACTAAGATATGCCTTCGAGACGGAGGTGGTCGTGGAGAGCCATGAGCAGTTAGTGCTGAACATCTGCAGTCGACAATCGCACTACCACTGCACAAGAGAGTATTTGAAGGTTTGTGGAAAAACTGAACATCCACAGTCGTCCACCATTTGAGGACATCGGAAAGGTGAAAAAGCTCGATATATGCGTGTCGAATGAAATAATTGCTGTTCAGTCGTTATTTTGAAGGTACGAAGAAAAATTGAAGGTTTTCAACCTTAATGGAATGATCACAAAGGGAACTAATCTCATGAGATCCTAGAATCTTCGAAGGACTGCAGTGCAATTTTTGGTCATCGGAGTATATAAATTTACACCTTGTAGGCGAAAAAGAGCAGACTCTAGTGGTTCTTTCATTGATTAAAAACTAGAAGTATATGAACCTCGTCACTACAATTTCAGATCTATGGCTCAAATTCGTCATTGCTTTTTCACCAAATATAGTTTCTGGTACATGCATACTGCAACTAATGGGTATCGAATGTGTTAAATACCTTTTCTGGGTTAGCATAGTAGCGCAGTTGATATAAATGCATTGCAATACACATGAGTTCGATCCCGCATCCCGCATCACAGACTCATAAGATCTCTTTCGTTCCGGGTCGGCAAACTGAAAACGGACCTGTCTGCGAGTATAACAGCGTTGACTCGAAACATCGATATGCCGCAACGATTCACTGTGTAGACCAGATATGCATTCAACAACCTCTAACAATGCTTGACGAAGTCGGACTAATGGCGCATTCCCAAGGAGCTCTATTCTTTACTTATTTCAATGGACATGGAACTCTTGTAACCTATCTTTTGATTCTTCCTTTACTGATTAAGGTATGAAAGTGACAAAGTAAGAAGAAACAGAGATAAATGGCATCTCTAGTCTTTTCCAACTCAGGAATCATTGGAAGAAACAATGGAGTTTTTAAAAATACTCGATGACAAAATTGCAAACAGGGTAAATACGACCATGGTTTAGACACAAATTAGTTTCCAAAGAGCTTAAAAGGACTTATTTTCAAGTTTGCAAAAGCGGATGACAACGAGGTAGTAGATTCTATTCCACTCCATATTTAAAAATATGCTATTAAAATTGAAGACCCTAAAATTACGCCATTATGAGTACTAACATAGACACAACAAAATATTTTATTACTGCTGCATACAGGGGCATTAAGTGATGTTACGATGATTTCGGGATGGCGCCTGTGGCGCAGTGGTCGAAGGCGACCTACAATACACATGGAGTCGATTACCGCGCGCGTGGCCCAACAAGTCTTCCATCCCTCCGGGGGCGGCAAATTGGTAGCAGACTTGTCTGTGAGGATATCAGCACTGCCTCTATACATCGGTAGGCCACGCCAAATCAATGCAAAGGCCAGATATGCAATCAATAACCTCTAAACAATGCTTAATGAAGTCGAATACATGGCGCATCGCTAAGGGATTGATCAACGCCGAAAGCTTTTATCCTTTTACGATGACCTCATCACCAGTTCCGAAATCATAAGAACAAGACTACGTGACTGTTAAAACTTCATTTTATCAAACTAAGCGAAAATGAAGACGAGAACAAATTTATTTTCCAAGTTTCCAATTGCTAAGATGTAATCTGATGCTGTTAAAACGTTAGGATTATACTTGAAAACCGACTTTCCTTTAACCTCGGAGTGACTAATCGATATGTATTCTTTCTTGACAGGGTTACACGAGGCTGTTACGATTAAACTAGCTCAGTTACGTGCTAAACCATAATTTTCAACTTCTGGTAATCCCGAGAGTGAACTGCTACACTCACCTTTTTCGTGAATGTAGATTCCGCCCGTAAGTCCATGATGGACTTCGCATCGGACTACGGTAGGATTTGCGTTGTTTTTAACTTCAATGCCCGAAATCCGGTTTGAGTGAATATTACACTTTTCGAAATAGCCCATACCGTATCTAAAAATTAAAGTTCTTTTTTGAAGAAAGTGGAATTCCATGAAGTGTCAGACGCAGAGAACTCACTCGAAGGTAAACACGCCAACGTCTTTGCCGTGATGGATGTGGCAGCGTCTAAAGAATGGATTCGCTTGGTTTTTTACCCAAACACCGGCCAACGAATTCCGGGCTATTTCGCAGTCTTCAAATTGACCCTTAAATGAATAGCACTCATACGAGACTTCCACACACGCACACGAATTACGGAAATAATACTACACTTTAATCACAGGTAAAGATCTCTTTTCAGCAATAACGAGTCATGTACAACGAAGTAAAAACGAGACATGTCTTTTTGAAAAGAAAACGCCAGACAACATACCTGCGCTCCATCAGTGATATAAATTCCGACATTTTCACAATCAGTGATTGAGCAGTGTCTTACCTAAAATATTTTTGTGGGAAGGACATCTTTCAAACATGATTCAACAGCCACACCATGAAAACAGAAAAAGCTAATACCTTTGGATTGGCTGCCGTTCTTTTCACACAAACAGCAGCTCCAACGGAAGATGTAGAGTTGATGTGACATCGATCAATCACTGGTGCAGCCTCTTCTGTTACCTTCAATTGTCTAATGTTGAGAAAAATACTCAGCACATAATTTAGAAAACATTCTTTAGTGCTGAGAGTAGAAACCTGAAGAGCATAGTGTTGTTGGTGTGGAACACCCGGTGGTGCTTTATCCGGATTGAATCGCAATGAAAGGTAGCCTATGTAAGCGCACGATGAACCCTCGACTAGAGTTACGGTGGTGTCGTCACGTTGTTCAATCACAACGGCTTTGTTAATTGGATAGTGACAGCCTGAAGGAAAGAACTGCACAAAAATTAATAAACAAATCCGACTGAGCTTTACAAAACAAATAACACCTCTTCTTACAGAACAACTACTTAAAAACGATCAGAACCCTAGCATATAAAACTATTCAACCTTGGGAACAATATCAGTTGTTTGCTTTTAGTTATTTTCAAAAACTAGCTAATAACTTCGATCAAATACTTAGAAAGAAAGAAATTCTTAGAAACTTTAAGGAAAACATCGATACCAAAATTTCGACTTCATACAGGATTTCGTTGTTATAAAAATTAGCCAATAAAAGATTCCCAAGTTTGAAATACACAGGAGACAGCCGTGATATTTCACGGGCCCCATAGGAGAGCTATGCCATAAACACTCTATCAAGCACGAAAGCGAGCAGATCTACTGAGTGGTCGGATAAAACGTATACCTTTGAGTTAGTGCAATTATCCAAGCAAAACCAGCGGATCACAAAACTACAGCAGTGTTACACATTAAAACGACAATGAAGACATAGAAACAACATTTCGGCAGAACAACGCAGCGGTTAGCAGTACTCGTTCATTTCTCTAAACTGCTGCCTGATCCATTTAGTCTCTTGAAACCTCTTCTGGGCCGTGCCATGAGGATTTCGACCTGTATGTGGTACATATTCCAGCTTTACTTGGTTACGAAAACAATTTGAAATCAGCGAATGTATCCGCACCATAAATAAAAAACCGACACCACCAAATAAATAAATAGCACATAACAATTATTCCCAGTGATGCAGCAACTGCCAGAAAACACGAATATCACTTTCTGGTGAAGTTATGCACTTCCCATGACCGACTTTCTGTTAACCTCGGCATTAATTGATAATTCAATGTTTTTCATCAATAAGCAGACACGAGGTTGTTAATATAGAATTTATTAGAACACAATTGCTGACGTTTCGGCGGTTTCGCCTTCTTCAGAGCCTGGAAAGGTCAAATTGAGATGCGATCTACTCAGCCAAACACTTTCATAACCCTAGCAGATAAAACTTGATAAATCGATTTGTATTCGCATAAGAAACAGCTTCATTCAAACACCTACCGTTTATTTGTTGTAAGTATTTAAGTCAGTTGGTGGATAGCCGCCGCACAGAGTAATACATGGTCGATAACTGGGTCCATGTCAGATCATTGGATCAGCCTGAGGTATGGCGCTAGGTCACGCGTGATGACAAGACACTCCTCCTTGCGGTTCATTTTTGAATTTTTGGCATTGATCCAAAACGCTTCAAGAGTTTTTCGCGCTGATGTTTTCGATTCCTGCGTAAGGATAGTGACTCCTACCTCAAAATCTTCTCCGTTGTGTTCTTGCATCCTATGCGCGCCTAGTGGGGTATTGTGTTTTAGTTTAGATTTACCGACTAGGTGTTCTTTTATGCGGACGCAGAGCGGTCTACCCGTTTCGCCAACATATTCGTGCCCGCACGCTTTACAAGAGATCAGATAGACTGTACCCGAACTCATGCAATCACCGTCTCTACCATTTGGGCAAATTATGCAGTTTTTTGTTGTACATAGACGGTCGTACAGGCGGTTGCGAACTAGCTGGCGTCTTAGAGTGTCCGGTGGTATTTCTATCACTCTTACGAAATTCTCTAGACCGGCCCTTATTAAGCANGGTCGATAACTGGGTCCATGTCAGATCATTGGATCAGCCTGAGGTATGGCGCTAGGTCACGCGTGATGACAAGACACTCCTCCTTGCGGTTCATTTTTGAATTTTTGGCATTGATCCAAAACGCTTCAAGAGTTTTTCGCGCTGATGTTTTCGATTCCTGCGTAAGGATAGTGACTCCTACCTCAAAATCTTCTCCGTTGTGTTCTTGCATCCTATGCGCGCCTAGTGGGGTATTGTGTTTTAGTTTAGATTTACCGACTAGGTGTTCTTTTATGCGGACGCAGAGCGGTCTACCCGTTTCGCCAACATATTCGTGCCCGCACGCTTTACAAGAGATCAGATAGACTGTACCCGAACTCATGCAATCACCGTCTCTACCATTTGGGCAAATTATGCAGTTTTTTGTTGTACATAGACGGTCGTACAGGCGGTTGCGAACTAGCTGGCGTCTTAGAGTGTCCGGTGGTATTTCTATCACTCTTACGAAATTCTCTAGACCGGCCCTTATTAAGCAGCGTTTTATAGCTGTTTTATAGCTAACTCGGTCGTTATCGACCATGTATTACTCTGTGCGGCGGCTATCCACCAACTAACTTAAATACTTACAACAAATAAACGGCTCTGAAGAAGGCGAAACCGCCGAAACGTCAGCAATTGTGTTCTAATAAATTCTATATTAACAACCTCGTGTCTGCTTATTGATGAAAAACATTGAAGTTATGCACTTCCTAGATCACCCCTATGTGTTTGAAGTGCACAAACATAGAGAAGCAAAATATTGATCTGAAGAAAAGAGGGGTATTAAGGTCATTACTATGTACCAATCTACGGCAAAGACAAATCTAAGCTATCGGTGGATCAGCAACTGTGTTTCAGTAACAGTTGCGCACAAATTTTAATACTAAAAAATTAAAGCATAAAGTCACAAAACCATCACTTAAACATAAAGTCTGTGTTATTCGAGCAGCATCATATTAATGACACACGTCCTCATGTAAAACGATAGAGGATTAAGCTTTCATCCAAAATCAAACCCTCAGTAATCGTTGGAGGTAATAAAATGTGTCCTTGACCTACACATTAACCTGTGGTGGCCAAACGATATCTGAAGTCAGTACGGGCATATTCGCACCGAAGTCTGGTGCCATCGTTCCCACTCCGGAAAGGTGGTAGGCTTGATGAGCTCGAAGTACGAATTCGAACCAACGACCACATGCGTATTGCGTGACATCTCTAACTACTACACCGCTCGCCCTCATAATTTAGGTAAATAAACAAACACATAAATCGTGACTGCGTGTTTCGTGGAGAATAAAGTAAGCAAAATAAACGCACGCTACGAAAGCTACAATTTTTTTCCCATATGGAAAAAGTTGCTAATTGAAGAACATAGAAAGACAATGTGAAAAATTGGCACCGTGCAAATGTATTTAAAAAAACAATAAGGTAAAACAATTAATTAACCGAAGACTTTTAAGTACTCCATATTTAACAACCAAAAATCTACAAAGTAATACCTAACTTTTGGATGCATTAAAATAATTGCACCTCCCAACTTCAACCATTTCAAGTCCGACAGTTGACTCTCGCTTATGTGGTACAAAATCCTGTGTAGCGCTGTGGTCGGTGGCACCCTGCAATACACATGGGATCGATCCCGTCCCCCGGGCTCACCAAACTCTCCATCACCTCGGGATCGGCAAACTGGTACCAGACTTGTCTGGGAGGATAGCACTGGTTGGAAACATCGGCCACTGCAAGTCGTTGTAAAGACCAGACATGCACTCAGTCACCTCCAATCATGCTTGATGAAGTCGAATGTATAGCGCACCCCTTTGGAATCAATTTACGCCAACACCTTTATCCTTTATGACACAAAAACAATGGCCGGTTTCAACACTAAAACTTAGGGGAACTAGTTTTTTCCTGAGCGGCTGATAACTTATCGACGATTAGAATACTTTGAGAATTTCGATTGAGAACATCAGTTTGCACAAGAGATTTTTCTCCATCTATAACTACTGAATTTCAAGTATGGGAATTTAAACTTGTTGAATTTTGAAGTTGTTCAGAACTGAGATTTCCAAAATTAGCGATAAGGATTTTAAACGCTTAATATTGCGAACATTTACCGCCTCATCGTGGGTGGGAGGTGTTCCTGGGTGTCGGATTGCCATGTTCAGCGAAGGGATTTGTCCCCCGGCAGAAGAGTCTCCCAAGCTGAGGAGTCCGGTGTTTCCATCAGGAAGTCTAGCTAAGAGTAAACCAACACCAGGATCCGCCACCGTCCTAGGATCAAAGTCGCATGGTGGTAAATCACCCTCTGATCTACAAGGACTGCGACTGTCTGTCGTGGTGACGACCTGGAGCAGACTTTGGCCAGACTGTCCTCGCGATTCCATGGAACCACAATGGCTTAACCAGCAAATCTCCGGAAAATGGTGATTATGCTGGGCCCCGCACAACTAGTGATGACGGGCCGGTCAAGTATCAAGTAAGTATTAGTAGGAAAATTGACCATGAGCTGAATATGCTGGCTTAAATTTGAACCTGGCCGTTATTTTAGCACCGTGTTAGCGGATGCCAGTTCACTACATAGTTAAGCCAGAATGTCTCACCTAGTGATGGACACTGTTTTGAAATGAGAACCACTAGAATCTATAAATCTTTGCCTGCTTAGTATAATTTTTGTCTTTCTGCCATGATGAATTCCTGATTTTACGGAACTCAGAAATAGAATTCCTTGCTTTTTCGCTGATCCTCATACTCAAAACAGCGATCAGTTACACGATAGGAATTTAACTCAGTAGTACGCGGTGATTTTACATGCGTTATACACATTTAAACCCTCTCGGCATAGTTAAGAAATTTTTAAAAACTTCGGTTTTTCAGTTTTTTGAAAACTTTGGCCAAAGAATATTGAAAAACAAGAAGGCATTTTTGAGGAATCATATTTCACTTTAATTAAGTAAAGTAAAGTCTTCTAAAGGCTTACTAAGCTCCCAAGTACCGTAATTATGAACAGTTTTCGAAGAACCTGCATCAGACTCACGCCAAATAAACACATCTATGTGTATCGTGAACCTTACCTCTTGAAATAAAGATTTGTAAAATAACAGCGAAGCCTCGCATTTCACAGTCGATTCCTTCCCGAGCAAATCAACTCCCAATTCCTCCGATGTCAGGAATTTGGTACCAAGCTTGTCTGCGAAAACTCGTTCCCTTCCATCCACAAAAGCCGGGGAATGTTTGTGATGATGATATGGGAAAGTCCTTGAATAGTTATCACAAGATTTCATGGGAAACAAACTCAGCCAACATTCAAGCACATCTTCATAGACCAATATCCTCAAACAGCAGCCGAAACCAAACGCAAGTCCGAAAACCATCGCAGGTGTCGGATGCAAGGCGACGAATCGAAAGGAAAAGGAAGTACTGGAACCCGCATAATATGTGGAGTCGCGTCTCGATAAAAAAAGGAAACTAACGAATAGAACAAGACCAGCATGTTGGCTCTCCTACAACGATAAAATTCAAATTTTAGAGCCAATGAAACATCCTTATGTTATTGTTTTTCGCTGAGATCGTATCTCGAAGATTGACGATTAGTGAATAAGCGGCATTTCTTCCAGCAAGAATGATAACTTCAACTTGTAAATGGTTCATGCTTCGAGTTACCGCTTTTGCATTGGAAAAAACAGATAAAATGTTTAAGTTTAACAATCAATGTTTAAAAAGAGGAATTTTGAATAAATTTAGTGTTAAGAAAATGCAATTTAAAAAATCTTCCATTAAGGCAGTAAGGCTAGGTTTCCTCTATAGATGTGTTACCAACTTTTCAACTACGTTAAAAAGGATAAAGGATAAAGCTCTCGGCATTGATCAATCCTTGAGCGATGCGCCTTGAAATCGAGTCCACTAAGCAATGTTGGAGGTGGTTGAATGCATATACGGTCTTTACAACAACTCGTGGTGAGCTACCGAAATATCGAGCCAGTGCTGCTATCCTTCCAGACAAGACTGGTATCAATTTGTCGACCTCGGAAGGATGGAGGGCTTTGTGAACCTTGGGCGCAGGAATCGATCACATGTGAGTATCGCAGGGCGCCTTCAACCATTGCGGCACACGCGCCCTTTCGAGTAGTGAAAGGGTGAGGTCAAGCACACCAGTAATCGGAAAATGAGTGGGAATCGAAGAAAATTAAGCACCGTAACCGATATGCTTACAACTTGGTCAATCAAGCTACTAAATTAATTACGCACATTTACTTATTCTAAGCACAGTTCTGTAGTTTTCTTGTTCAGCAATCGCGAGGTTTTTAAACAGCATACATTTACTTCCATAGACTTCTATGGAAGTAAATGTATGCTGTTTAAAAACCTCGCGATTGCTGAACAAGAAAACGACACATTCATATTCCAATGCCGAGGTTAATAAAAAGTCGATCCTGGGAACAGTTCTGAAGTTTTCCCAAACATCAAGACAAAAAACGCTTAAGGAATAAGGTTTGTGATGCTGATACAGCTCTGTACTTCAGCAAACAGCTCCCGTAAAATTGCTGGTGTGATAAAATTAACTGAAGGAGAATATTTGAACCCCGCAATTCCCCAACAAATCTTCTATCCAGAGGAAAAAAAATACCTAATGGACGCACAGCATATCGAGGTCATAGTTGTGAGACAACACGAGTGGTATAGCCTTGACCTCGTTTAAACAACATGCGTTAAATGAATGGAGAATGCGAAAAGACTTGACACGAAACAGCTCGTCCATAATGGATGTGACTCACATGCATTTCCATCCAGATCACCTTGCTGCAAACCCACATTCACCCAAGCTGCCTGTACAATTAGCAGCTTAACGATGTCTCTATGTAAAGCTAAAATTGCTCATTGCTCCCTCAGGGTTTAACCAACAACCTCTGTTTTGCGACTCCAAGGAGGAAGCGAATAGCATAGCATCGCATGACTCTCTTATAACATAATTCTGAGATAAACGAATATCGCCGAAAGTTAACAAACAGAGATGACCAGAAACGGCTGCAGGTTGACAAATTGTGGAGTTCTAATTTAAAACTGTGAATCCAGATCAATTCTTCGATGAATTTAGGGACAAATGTATGCAATAAGCCGCTATCATGATGTTCGACAATTAGAATATTTTCTTTTACCAACTATGAGGGAGTTTCATGAAGGAAATTTAATAGGCCTGGAACGTGTCAATACTGATGGTATCGGGACCATAAATTAACGCCAAAGTTAGTATCAAAAAAGCTAGACGGATATCACGTCTGTGTTAACAAATCGACGTCCTAATCTACAAATATTTTACATAGATATGAATACGGATGAATCTGTGACAGGCAAGAAGAACTCACTCATGCAAAAACCCACTGTTTAGAACAAAGCGAATTAAAACACCAAGTGTTAAACAGTTCGAATAACAAAATGACAATTAACCAAAATAATAAAAAACAAGTAAGAAAAGGAACGCACTAGCGCCAACGATCTGTACGGGTGAGCTAATAATAATCGGCTCTGGAAAATAATGCCCAGTGTGCAAGAGAATAAGCTTCTCGCGTTCTGGTTCGGCATCAAGAAACCTGGATAAACACTTAGTTTAGGGAAGAAAGGAAATGAAAACATTCTAAAAAGCATTACAACATACTGAAGTGCTTGTGAAATCGTTTCAAAGTGAGGAATACTTCTTCCGATATGGCCTTCATAGATATGTGCACATCGAGGTCGCACGTGTATACCATGTCGCTGAATATGGCACAATACACATACATTTGGAACATTTTAAGTAAAGAGAAGACTTACCAATTGCCGAAAGCTCTCTTTCCACGGGTTCAAAGTGTCTCGCCACCGGTGTAAATCCCGTAGTTCAAATTTACCATGGGTAGGATGATACATAGGTACACTATATTCAAATGCACCTTGATACAAAGTTTTCCTAAATGTAATACGTTATGTAGTAATTCTCATGACCGACTTTCTATTAACTGCGGCATTGATCAAATAATTTTTGACAGCATGCTTTAACATAGTCTCTGTCTAGCTATGAAGGTATTTGGTTGGGTAGATTGCGGTCAACTTCACCTTTCCAGGCTTTGAGGAAAGCGAAATCCGTCAAAACCTCAGCTTTTTAGTGACTAAAGAATAGAGTAACACTTCGTGTTTGCTCAACAAGAATATGGAGAATTATATAAAACGTTAGTAGAACACTACCTTCGATATAATACAAATAAAAAATGTTGCGAAAACCCTGTAGGTTTATGAGCACCAACTTCAAAGACTTCCCTACAATTAACGTTTTTGTTCACGTAAAAACTACTTCCATTAAGAATATGCAATTTCATTTACTCATTCGTAGTGGAATTCTAGACTTTTAGATAACATAAACCTTCCAGAAGCATTTTAAGAAGCCATTAGCGGTTGGAAGTTATCTCAAAATGTGATTTCCGAGGTATTTAAAAAACAGCAGTTGTTTGGCGAGTGGGCCGGTATGTTTTGTCAAAAGCTCCGCGCTTCATTTCCTTCAACTCATAAACGTTTATAGTGCTCACTGCGCGACGAATTGCCTGATATACAACAGAAGATGGAAAATATGTGCCAAAAACTATTTCTACTTCGACAGGCAAACGTCAGTCTCAGATTCCACATGCCTCCGTGTATTTGCCAATTTCTGACTGATAATTTCCAGCGGTGATAAGTTGATTAAGATATAAGACATTGGATGAGTTTAGTCTCACACGATGAATCCAATATAACGTCCTTCTTTTGATTTCAAAGCTTGTCATTCATTCAAATCACCAAGCACGCATTTGTGTCGTCTCTGAATTTCCCACTTAGGTTGGGCGCTCAGGAACTTTTGCTACATACACGTGTCATTTCCCGCAAGCTTGGAAACTGCTTTGTCAAGCTTCAACTACTGACCATCATTCAACTTCAAAACCAGTTCAAATGGTCACCGTTGATCGCAGTCTACTGCTCCAGACTCTATTCTTCGACATTTTGTTCCAAAACACTGCTCATAGTTTCTTGGTTAAATGCAGTGACGATATTGTGAAATGTTTACTCAGTCTACGCCCACACTGAAATTCACCAATAATGTTTATACTTGTCTTCGTCAATATAGCGAACTACTTGATCAATGCCGAGGTTAACAGGAAGTCGAGCACGGTAATTACCGTTTAAATTTGTATTAAGGATAAAAAAGCTGTCGGCGTCGATCAATCCCTGAGGGATGCGTCATGCTTTCGACTTCATTGAGCACCGTATGGAAGTGTTTGAATGCATAGCTGGTCTTTACAATGACTCGCGGTGGGCTACCGATACATCGAGCCAATTCTGCTATCTTCCCAGGCAAATAGGGTAACAATTTGCCGAACCTGGAAAGGTGGAAGGCTTGGTGAGACGTGTGCGCGGGGAACGATCCCATCTGTATTGCGAGGCGTCTCCGACTATTGAACTATACGCGCCCTATATCTGTATTACCGTCTTTTCTACAATGGCCCAAATTCAACCGATTTCAACGTGAATAAAACAGAGCGAAATCTAGGTTTCAAAATTGTACACAGCATGGAACTAAAAGCGTGGAATATATCCGGGGAGAAATCGTCACTATATAGGAAGACAAAATCGACATTGCTTTTATTTCAACGTAGTACTAAAAGCCAGTAGCTAAACGTACCATAAATTCACATCGTTTGATATCCTATAAAATCTACCAGATACGCCAGCGCATCGTGCGAGATCAGCTTCGTACAGATTAGAGAAAACCTGTTAAAAAACGTAAAGGAAATCTTTCACAAAAGAAGTTAGTGAACATACCTTAAGGACAATTTCATCAGGTAAATGATCAACGTAACAGGAACCATCAGAAGGTGGTTCCAAGTGGTCTGTAGTTATACTGCTAAAACAATCATCATTAAGTGGTCTTGAAACCAACAATAGCCCTTGTTTCAAAAAACAGACCATCATTCGAAATATGGAAAAATGACGAAGACTATGAGTACTGACGAGAGTAGGCCTTCATAAACTAACTAACCAAAAAAACTTCCATAACGAACAGATACAAACGTGGGAAATTAGCCCATTTCTTGGGCTGAGTTCACACGTAATCGAACGAAAAATAAACAAAGATCGACCGACAACTCACTTTTTCCGCGCTTCTCCTGGAGACTCAGGCTTGAATCGTTTGCAGGGCTGCACTGTCTAAATTGAACGAAATCGAACAGTTCAATTGTTCACAGAACAATTTTATTCAGAAAGCAGATTTCCTCTTAAAACAATTCCACAGGTATAAAGGCGAGAGTACAGGTTAATGCGATGAAAACAAAGTTTTTCTCTGAACTACTTGAAGTGACTTCACAGATACCATCCACACAATAGGTTCACCATGGTTACCAAAGCAAACTGAATTTGGAAACGAAAGAAGCATGAATAATTATTACTCGCGTCCCTAGCAATCACGTGGTGAACACAAAGTTCCACGAAAAACATGAGATCGTATAAAATATGGACTTTTTATAGTGGACTACGAAAAGGATTATACAGCAGTAAAGTGACAACCATATTTACTTGGATGGCCCGTCTTCACTTGTTGTGCGAGCGCCAGCACAATTTCCACTTTCTCAGAGTTTTGCTGATTTAGCCGTTCTGGTTTCCTGAAGTACCGAGGTCAGTCTAGCCAAAGTCTGCCCCAGGTTGGCACCACCACGGACTATCGCCATCCTTGTGAATCAGAGGGAGATTTGCCACCATGCGACTAGTTTGATACCAGGACGATGGTGGATCTTGGTATTGGTTCACTCCTAGTTGGGCTTCCTGATGAAAACTCTGGACTCCTTTTCAGCTAGGGAGACCGCGACAGGGTGATGAATCCATCCGCTGTGCATCACAGCATCGACGTTATATATGTATATTTATATACAAATGTATGTATAACGAGAAATAGAAAAAAACAAAAAGTACTGCAAATGTACATACTTCATCAGCGGTAGCTGCAAGACTACTAGTGGCGCAACCTTCTTCGTCCTTTTGTTGAATAGAACGCCGCCGCCGTAATGCGTATCTGGAGCTGAAGCATCTTTCCATAATAACTACATTCTATACTCAGTACTTATGAAAACAGGGTAATGTCCGTATGAATGAATTCTCAACCGAACACCTCTGAATGAGGAAAGACAGTCGAAACTGCTACAAGAGGCGCCACAGTTCTCAAGCGAACTGTGTTGGCCATGGGACTCACCTGCGCAGACACATGCCGCCGCCCTCGTGCTGCGACGGGGTCGCCGCCCGACCGAGGCACTCGTCGGCCGGCGACAGGCCATCGGCCATCTGGCGTCGCGGGGAGCTCGGCGACGCGCGCGACTCGCCTCCTGTAGACGCCGGCAGCTGCGACTCGGACGCGGCGACTGCTGAATCGTCTCTCTGCTGTCGCCTGTGCTGCTCCGCCTTCACACAGCTCGCACTCAACGAACCTCCTTTTTGGCGCAACACTGCAACAATCAGAGTCACTAAGAGTAGGAGAACTACAAGTAGAATTAGAGCTACGACAAAGAGATGGGCAAGCACCTGGAAAAGCCACATGCATAGAATACAAACTGTCGAGAAAACAAAAAATCAACCTTGTACCTCATATGGATTTGTTCAAGGAAAAGAGTTGAGCTGTCCACTAACATATGGAAAGAATTGTCTTAACAATTAAACGCCCTCAGTCCCATCAAGTCTTTCTTTATGCTGGATTATACGATTTCCCTGGTTTTAAATGTATTCTTACCAAATTTTCAACACCAGTCAAAGCGACATTTGTACACTTTCATGTTTTAGTGTTAGTTGTTTCCGAAAACACCAATGCACCATTTTTCAGTAGAAAAGCCAGTGGTAGTTAGCTCAAAAGGCTAAATCACCTAAAGAATCCCTTATAAATAGATAACAAGGATATCTTATTTCGATACTTGGACGGCCTGTCCCCATTGATTGTGCGGAGTCCAGCAAGCATAACCTCCATTTTTCGGAGATTTGCTGATTAAGCCCCTGGAGTCCCGAGGTCACTCTGGCCAAAGTTTGCCCCACGTCGTCACAACAACAGGTAGTCGCCGCCCTTGTGAATCAGAGGGAGATTTGCCACCATGCGACTAGTTTGATACAAGGACGGCGGTGGATCCTGCTATTGGTAGATATATAGGTAGATAGATAGGTATAGCCATAGATGTCATATAGGCCAAAGAATATAGTTAATCTTGAGGAATGCTACAGATTGAAGACGAAGGCTAAAAATGCGCTCTGAAGCAGACTCGTGGCTAAATTTTCAACTCAACTAGAGAATTTGGCAGCGTGCACTTAGAAGTACGACAATTGGATTGAACGAATATCATACTTATGCTGAAGATGTTGTACACTATCTTTAAGTAAATAAGCCTATTGAAGCAATGTAGAAGAGAAGAAACGGTGTAAAACTTCAACCTTAAAAATACAAAGTGACTTCAAAAACCGAAAGTTGTAGTGATAAAAGAATACTCAATCTTCTAATAAGTGAAGACCATAACCCGATAAAGCGTTTACAAGGAAGTTACGAACACAGCTGAAAGAAAAACGAAGCGAAGGATTCGCCATGATGCGGTGGTGACCGTGTTAGCCCACGGAAAGGGTAACAGCGATCCTCATCACAGACACCAGCGGTCCGAAGTGTTGCAAATATTTCAGCGTCATTATGGCTTTGAACAGAATCGTTGCAAGTCAAGAGTATTCCATCCAAAAGTGTTGTTAAAGTTTCTCAACCGTGAGTAATTAAATAAACATCGGTAAGGAATTTTCAAAGCCAGCAGACGTTATCGATCGAATACAACAGTAACAGCTTTAATCAATAGTCTATGCTCGAATGCATAACGCTTGGCGTTTCCACAAGTTCTCTATAGATCTGGGAAAGTTTCACCAATTTCGACGATTTTTTTACTGATGCGAACTCCGTCACCAAATATAACATTCTAAACAATCGAAGAGGGTCCTAAACGATCGTGGTACTCTTCTAGTCAGCAAGCCGGATTCATGCATTTTGGCGAACACACTCTGCAATGTGTCACAAGTTCTAGAAAGCAGCGAAAGATCAGATGAACAGAAATCCTTCCAGAAAGAAGGAAAAAAGAAATGAAGAAAATGTGGGGGAATGGAGCGGTGCTCAGCTTTCAGGTTTCTCCCCATCTCTATAGGATTTGTTAACATATCGACTCGGAACCATTCGAATGGCACAACTTGCATCACAGACCACATGGTGTAATCAGTAATAGACCTTAGGAAAACTTAAGCTGACTTCACATGACGGGATAAAATCGGCCCGAAATAGACCACAATGTTGACTTTTCACTACATTAAGAGTTGGAACGTACTTGTCGACAGACTGCTTAGAAGACCTTGGACATAACGGCTCATTACCGACTTGTTTTTTCCCTTAAGCTAAGCAACATGCTAGATTTCATGGAATCTATTTAGAAATGAATGAAGCTGATCTGTTTACTCTGAAGAAACCAGTACGAGATTAAATCGAAGCAGAAGCACACTAAAGAAAAATGAACACAGAAATCAATTCCATTCAGATGTCTGGGACGAAAAAGATGACAGACCAAGGAGCTCACGGCCTCATAGTAAAACTTTCTCCAACTAACATTAACTGACATGGCTAGTTAACAACTAATGAAAAGAGGTCCGATCAAAAATAAGTATAGAGGAAAAAACGTCTCCTCTTTTTGCTTCTTACAAACGAAACTCAGCCAAGATAGCCAGCATTTCGCCTACTCAGTGGTGAAACTTCGTGACGGTCCGTGCGGACGCAAGTGTGTGACTGCGTGCGGGTGAGCGCGGCGCCGAATCTAGACCATGTGGGGTTCGGGACGTGTGATCGATCGCCCAGCGACGAAAAACGCTACCAGACCGGCCGGTCGATCGCGATCAATACTATTTCAGGACTGTGTCAAGGCGATCGATGATCAGAGGCACCGACCGGAGTGCTGAACACGGATCGAACAGCAAGAAGGATTCGACTTTTCCTCATTCCACAACCGTGAGGAGTAACGGATCGAGACGAGCAGCCAACGTGACGATCGATATCTGCACAGAACTGCTTCTCAGGATGAGGAAAGTGAAGAAGCGGAAACGACTCATGACAAATCACAAAGACGGCTAGGCGTCCATTAACAAATTGACAGCCGTGAAGGTTTCCAATAAACTGCAGATAACACATCTGCCGACTCAACGTTGAACCCTTAGTCCTTCCGGGGTCGGCAATTTGTTGTCAGAGTAGTTCGGGAGGATAAAAACACTGAGCCGATACATCAGTAGGCTTCTCGAGGTGACTTCGTAAGTCAAACAAGCACTTAAGTACTTCTACGATACCTAGCGGAGTCGAGTGGACCACGAATCGCTCAGAGATTGACGCCATACGCTCCACCCCATATCGTGTCGTTACATATAAACTTAAACATGTGTATAAATATATTTAGGATTATTATTTGCACACATTGTTATCGTATCATTACAAAGCGTCATTTTATCTAAAACATTTTAAACTAAAACATGGTTGAAAGAAAGGCGAAACGAAGAACACGCATGGTGTGGTGGTGAACACGTTAGCCCCCAGAAAGGGTGATAACGAGGTTCAATCCCCACTGCATACACCTGTGCTCCGGAGTTTTGCAAATATCTCAGCATCACTCTAGTTCTATTTCATATCATACCCTCGAGAAAAAACCTTTAGGAAAGGATCACTAGATCTATAGTATTTTATTGTAACTGGTAGGAGATTAACAAAATCATAAACAAGCAGTATTTGTTCTCTCCAAGAAGTCCACAGCAAGAAGATGAACACATCACAATATCTGCAAGACCGTAGTGGTGGTGTCCATGTGAGTTATTAACGACTGCCACGATGTCAGGCGCAAGCGAAAGGTCAATCACTGGTACGGAATTGCCTTCAAACAAAGGCAAGTGAGCTATGGTGAACGGAAGCTCAATAAGGTGTCCTCAAAAAATACGCATAAAGTATGAAGAAGACACCAATCGCTAAGGTTTGCAAAAAACCGCTTTCCATCCAACATTTGACAACAGCAATAAGCCCATTTCACAGGACCATACCACCAAAATGATAAAAATACAGTGTTTTTCTACACGACCCGTCTTTCACATCTATTGCACACATCCCAGCAATTCTCACATTCATTTCCTCGCATCTATCATCCACTAAAGTATACCACATTTTTTTACGCGTGGTTTCTGTTACTGCCTGAAGATTTCCCTTTCATCATGAATGTCGTTAAATGCTAGTCAACTCGATTCTCCTTGTGTCCTAAGATAGTCTTCCCTCTCCCTAGGCTCCTAGATAGACGAGCTAGACCGTTCGCAGTTGGACTGCAGAGAGTGAGGGTTTCCAGACAAATCCTGTACCAATTTCCTGACCACAGAGGGAAGAGAGCCCTAGCGGAATCGAACAAGCGCCATGCTCGTGATGATCAGCATCACTTCCATTGTACTACCCGCCCCTAACAATACGGTGTAACATCGACATTTCCATATAGAAGTCCTACTAAAAATAAGCTAATGCATGGAATCATTATGGTTTTAAAGCAGGCGTACTACGGTAATTTCACCTGCAGTCCATACGCGTCGGCTACTACTCACGATTGCTAACCCAGAAACTTTCCAGCACACGTTCACCAGCACCATAACGAAAAAAAGAGGACTTCTCAAGTGAAACATAAGCTGGTATATGCACGTTTGTTTGTGGACATTTGCACTGAAGAAGTGTTCAGTTATGTTGAAGTTTCAATGTTATTAACACGTTCGCCACAAAGCTAGTTTATCAACAACTACCGGTGATATGCCGACAAATAAAGCATGCGAAGACTTAAAATACATATAGAAAACACCTTAGCCTACCGAAATATGGGTACGTAAGGTTCTTCTAGAATGAAATCTCGCTGGTTGAAACTCTCGTCAATGTCAGTCTGGTTTGCTCCATCACTGTGTCGCATAGGATATGAGCCACAAAGAAGTGGAAAAAAAACATGTAAAAGTATGAAAAACAGAAATATTTGGAGGTCACAAAGAAAGAAGAGCTATGATCGTTACAGAGTAGTAAAATTTTAGCCTATTAGCAAATAACTGTAGATTCCAATTTCATTCGACAAAGTTCACTAAGAATACATACACTCGGTTTAAGTCAAAAGGCTAATATTATTCTCAGACATACAGGAGTTACAATCGAATCACACCCAGAAAATACTAATAACGTCTGAAATGCATTGTATGCTATGCATGTGGGGAAGAGGAGGCGGCAGTGCAGACGA